TCCGAGGCGGTCAGGATAAAAAGAACAGAAGCAAGATGTAGACGACGGCGCCGCCCGCGCGACCCCCCCCGCCACTGCGCGATGCCCGCCGTGCCGCCGGCGCCGCCCGCGTCGCCGCCGCGCGCGCTGCTCCCGCCGTGGCAGCGCGAGTGGCTCGCCGCGAGCATGGGCTGCACGATCGCGGACGCGATGTTTAACCCGCTCGAGGTGCTCAAAGTGCGGCGACAGATGCTCGCGAGGCGCGCGTCCTCGACGACGGCGTCGAACGCCGCCGCCGCCGCCGCGACCGCCTCCGCGACCGCGCCTCCGACCGGGACGCTCGCGCTCGCGAGGGACGCGATCAAATCGCGCGGGCTCGCGAACGGGCTGTGGCTCCCCGGGCTCGAGGCGACGTGCTATCGCGCCTTCTCCTACACCGGGTTCAGGATCGGCATGTATCCGTCAGGCGCGTCCCACGCACTGGTTCCCATACGACCCCGTCGGCGTGGTGAACGCCGTTCCTTGAGGACTTTCTTCCCGGCGCATCTCTCCGCCCACACCTCGCTTTCAATCCCGACACACCTCGACGCCTTTCAACTTCAACTGACGCCTTTCAACTCCACCCGACGTTCGCTCGTATGGAACGACCCTCAGTCCGCGACGCGATCGTGAGCCGCGGCGCGTTCGGCGACGCGGACTCGATCGCCGCGCGCGTCGCCGCGGGCGCGCTCACGGGCGCGGTCGGCAGCGCGGTGTTCAACCCGATAGACGTCGTGCGGATACGCATGCAAGGGCCGACGCCGTATCCGAGCACGCTCGGCGCGTTCGGTGCGTTCTTTTTTTCACGCCGGTCCCCATACGACCGCGTTCGCGTTGTGAACTTCATTCCTCAAGGACTTTCTCTCCCGGTCGACATCCCTCTCCGCGCACCACCCCTCGGCTTCAACGCCCTCATCATACGCGCCGCGGTCCCCGACGACTCTCTCTCCCGGCAGTCGTCGTCTCTCTCCGCCCATCCCACGGTTGGTTTCAACCCCCGCCCTCGGCGCCTTTCAACTCCAACTGACGCCTTCGAACTCCACCCCGACGTCTGTCTGTCGCTTCCTCAGTCGCGATCGCGAAGCGCGAGGGCGTCGTTCGAGGCCTCTGGCGCGGCACGGACGCGTGCGTCGCGAGAGCGGCGCTGCTGAGCGGGAGCCAACTCGCGACGTACGATTCGGTGAAGAAGCACTTGAAAGCGAACGGCGGGTTCGAGGAGGGTCCCGGGTTGCACTTCGCCGCGAGCTTCACGTCGGGGATCGTCGCGCAGACGGTGACGATGCCCGCGGACACGCTGAAGGTGCGTTTTACCCGTACTGTATACAAACGTTTTTCACCCACTGCTCAGTTTCAAAACTTGATCGCGACCACTTTCAACTGACCGATGCACATTTTTTGTATGGAATCGCGCTGAAGACGCTCGCGATGGCGGGCGGGGACGGCGGGGACGGCGGGAAACGGCACGGAGGGGGTCCTGGGACTCTGGGGATATTGACGCGCGTTTTACGAACGCACGGGGTTGGGGCGTTATATCGAGGGTACTGGCCCGCGATGGCGCGGCAAGGGCCCGTGATGGTGATTCAGATGCCCATCGTCGAGCAGTTCCGCAGGGCGTTCGGGTTGGAGTATTTCTGACGGCGGGACTTTCTGAGACGCTTTCTCTTCTCTCCGTTCGCTTTCCGAGACGGCGCGGCGGCGGCTTCGAAGGGTTCGCGACGCGCGGCGACCGCGGACGCCGACAAAGTGGAGGACCCGCGACCGCGACGGGGACGATAAGAGACCCGCGCGAGGTGCGCGCGCGCTCGACTGACATAGGATAGACTAGAAGTATACGGTAACGTCAGCGTCTTTCGTGTTTCGTGAAGATGAAGCAGAGCATCTGCTTTCGCCGGGTCTATCCGTGTATCTCGAGGACCCGGTTTTATTATTCGCGTCCATTCGTCGTCCCTCCCTTCGCTCGCAGTCCTCGACCGCGCGAGCGCGCTACGCGCGCGTGTTCACGCCGCGCACGCCTTGATACGAACGCCACCGTTGCCGCCGCGCGTACGTGAGCGCGCTTCGTTGCACCGCCCGCGCGAAGACGCGCGCGAAACGCGCGTCGCGATGGCGGGGCAATCTCGGAATAAGGTTATCATGCCTCGAAAGATGAAAGCGCTCGTGAAGAAAGCCGACGGCGGATGCGCGAAGTCCGCGCTTGATCTATTTCACATGATAAGGGACTTTGACGAAAGTCGCGTGTGGCTCCAGAAGGCCGCCGCGCTCGGGGACGCCTGGGCGCAGTTCAGAGAGGGACAGTTCATTCAGTCTTTCGCTACCCAAGACAAAGGCTTGTCGTTTCTCGAGCGAGAGAAGGAGTATCAAGACGCCATCGTGTTGTTGAGGAAATCGGCCGACCAGGGACACGGCCAGGCGTATAACATACTCGCGCATGCGTATTATAGAGGGTACGGCGTGGAGCAGGACAAGGAGAAGTCGCACGAGTACGACCTCGAAGGCAGCAAACGAGGGTACTACTTCAGCTCGCATAGCGTGGCGAACAATTATCTGCAAGGCGCGATCGGCAAAGACAAGGGAGACAAGGGGAGGGACGTCATCGTGGCCGAGCGTTTCTATCGCCTGGCGATCCAGCAGGGCGGCGCAGAAGCCCGGGAATCCAAAGACTATTTGAAAAATAATGTCGTGGGGCCGCGCAGGGAAATCTTAGGCTTGCTCGAGGAGCAGTGCGGGTTTCGAATGAAGCCGGACGCGAAGAAACGGTTCGTCTCCGGACCGCTTCCCGGGCCCGACGCCGGCCGTCAATTCGACCCGGACTGCCGGATGTATCGCGAATTCTTCAGGGCGCACTCGCAATTCAGCCACATCGCGCTCTGCTTCTTGCACGGGAGTTGCGGTTTCGACGTCAACTGGCGCCTCGCTCGCGAGATGTTCAAAGCTTCCATCTCGAACACGTGCCCGTGTTGCGTCGACGACAGAGACCGACCGGCGGAACGTCTCCTCCGCGCGTTGCGCTCGTGCGCGTGGTGCGGGAAAGAAGACGCGATGAAGACGTGTACGCTGTGTCACGGCCCGCGGTATTGCGGCCGACGGTGCCAGCAGTACGCGTGGAACCGGCGGCCGCACCGACTGGCGGATCAATCTTCCCCCCAATCCACTTTTCATTGTTGGGCCGCATCGTTGTGGCCGCACAAGACGTGGTGTCCGAAAACGACGACGCCGGTCCCGGCGCGGGATGTCTTCGAAGGCTTCGTTAAACACGGACCCGACGACGACGACGACGACGACGACGACGACGACGAGTGAGTTCGGTGTATGAGCGCGAGGTGAGCGGACGCGGCGCGCGCGCGAGCGCACGACGCGCGCGAGGTAGAATAGATAAGATACCCTGAATAGATGCGAGTACGTGTAGACGACGAAAAGCATCCGCGGACGTCGCCCCCTCCTTCGTCTTTCGCCAGAGCACGCCGTAGTCATCTTACTGTACATCTGGTCTAATCTAGTCTAGTCTATCTCGTCTAATCGCTGGACGTCTCCGTCGGGTCGGTCGCGACCTCGAACCGCGCGCGCGCTTCGTCGAGAAACCGCGCGCACGCGTGTCGATCGTCGAACGCCATGTCGTGCCAAAAATTCACTGCCGCGCACGGCTCCCCGTCCTTCCCGCGACGCTGCGACACGCGGTGATGCCACAGCGCGGGGAGGTACAGAATCTCCCCGGCGTGGACGTCGACGAGAAGAGGCGGCGGGTACCCGTCGCGCGCGAGGTCGTCGACGTCGACGGAGGACCACGCGACGCTTCGCGCGGGCCGCTCCAGACGCAACGCGAATCGGTTTCGCGGGGCGTCCTCCTGCGCGAGTTGAAAGGCGTCAGATGGAGTTGAAAGGCGTCGCGGTGTGTCGGGATTGAAAGCGAGGGACCCTGGGCGGAGAGATGCGCCGCCAAAAGTCCTTAAGGATCGGCGTCCACCTCGCGAACGCGGTCGTACGGGGACCAGTGTGAAGAGGACGCGCCCGCGTGCGGTCTTCGGCGACGAACGTCGCCGCCGGCGCCTCGCGAGGCTTCAACCGCGCGCCGTCGCACGGGGGCAACAGCGCGAACGTCTTCGTCCCGGTCACGACGCAGTACACGTTCTCGTAGTGGTCCTTGTGGAACGTCGTCACCGCGCGGTCGTCGCCGCACCAGAGGTTGACCGCGTCGGGGGGCGCGCCGAAGGCGGCCGTCGCCCACTCGAGTTCGCGCTCGCAGTCGCGCGTCAACGCGGGGAACTCGTCCAGGAGGCTGCCGCACTGCTTCGAGATGTAACGCACCACGGGGGGATGCGAATCGTCGCCGCGACGACGCGAATCGTCGTTCAGCTCGCGGAGGAAGTCGCGGAAGGTTTCGCGGCGCTCCTCGGGCGCGACGAACACCTCCCGCGGCTTCGGGTGGACGTCGACGACGGCGTCGTCGTCGTCGGCGGCGGCGGCGTTTATTCTGTCATCTCCTCCTCCGCCATCGCGCGCGACGACGCGCCAGCCGTCCGTGTCCAGCAGCGCGTCCCCGCGGCCGTTCGGCGTCACGTTCACGCTCACGACCGCGTCGCCCATGACGTCCGCGAGGTACGACGGGTCCTTCCATCGCGTCAGCGCGGGCCAGTGGTCTATCGCGTTCGATATCACGCACGGGGAATTGCGCGCGACGTGGTCTCGGAGGAAGGCGAGGGCGTCGACGCCGCCGCTGCCGTCGACGCGAGGGACGGCGCGCGCGCAGCTCAGGTCGCGGACCTCGCGCGAGAGCCACTTGAAGAGGTCGCGCGCGTCGCGAGGGTCGCCGTTGTCGTCGTCCGCGTCGGACGACATGCCCCGCGCGCGCGGACGACTGCCGTGTCGATCTCGCGTTCTCGGACTGGAGTACCAAAAAATGTCTAGACTATATGTCGGCGCCGAGACTCCTCGCTCACCACGTCGCGCGCGGTCCTAACGTCCCGTTCGACGGGACCCACCCCTCCGGAAGCAGCACCCCGCTCGTCCAGTCCACCAGCTTCGGCGACGCGGGGTGCCGCTCGCGGTAGCTCACGCCGCCGCCGCCGCCGGGGCGTTTCCTTTCGAACCCGCGCCCGGCGTTGGCGCCCCGCTGAGGGTCGAGGGTCCGCGCGAAGCGACGTCGGGGTGGAGTTCAAAGGCGTCAGAAGCGGAGTTGAAAGGTATCGCGGGCGGGGATTGAAAGAGAGGTGTGGGCGGAGAGAGACGACTACTGCCGGGAGAGAAAGTCCTCAAGGAACGGCGTTCACCACGCCGACGGGGTCGTATGGAAACCAGCGTACACTCTACGCGCCTGATTCACCTCCACCGCCTCCGGCGCCTCCGTGAACTTCAGCCAGCAATCCCCGGGCGCGTGCTCGTGCGCGTCCGGCTCGAAGCACCCCCCATGATCGCCTTTACCACCACCTTTAGGTTTCATAGTATCGTTTAGGTTTTGTGCTCGGGGCGTCTCCATCGGGCAGTACGCGAACGCGTTGCACGGCAACGACGCCACCTCCGCTCCGGCTTTTCCTGGCTCGTGCTCGCGACACGCCTCCGCGCACGCCTCCGCGCTCTGCACGGTGTGCCCCAACCCCCAGCGCACGGCGAGGCCGTCGTACGACGCGCGGGGCTCGATCCACGCGATGAGCGCGCGGCGCGCGGAGGGCGTGGCGTCGAAGGACGTCGCCGTCGGGGACGAGAGGAGGCACGACGCGTTGACTGAAGAGTAGGCGTCCGATGCTGGAGAGCCGCACGCGCGAATGCGCGCGGGCGACGGCGTCGAGACCGCGTTGAGCGGGTCGACGAAGCGCGTTCGACCGGCGAGCGGCGCGCGTTCGATCGACGGCGTCTCGGTCTTCTCGACGGCGACCGCGGCGGGGACGCGTCGCGTCGCGTTCGTCGGCGTCGCGGTCTTCGCGGTGGTGGTCTTCGCGTCGTCGTCGTCGGCGCCGGCGTCGTCGCCGTCGCCGCTCGCGCGCGTCGCGGCGATCGTCTCCTCCACGCGCTCGACGCCGTGCGCCTTCACGAGCGCCGCGATCGCCCGCGCGCGCGCGCTCGCGCCGCCTCGCGCGCTTCCCGCCGTCGTCGCCGCCGCGCGCGCGGCCGCGACGCCGACGCCGGCGTCCGCGATGGCGCGCGCGCGCGAGGTCTCGTGCCGATACAGCGTGAACGAGAAGATGCTCAAGAGGACGCACAGGCACAGCTTGGTCGTGACCGGGCGGTTCTTGATCCGCTGGACCGGACGCAGCGCCATGGCGCGCGCGCGGGGAGGACGACGCGCGACGCGACGTGACGCCGCGACGATGAGATCGTGAAAATATAAACGTTCGGGAGAGCTCAGTTCGCACGCGTCCTGTCGGCACGTCAGTCTCCGACGCGCGCGCGGCGCGGACGCCGCGATGAGCTTCGGACGCGCGGGCGTCCGAGCCAAGGACCCGTACGCGGTCGAGCCGCCCCCCGCGCGGAGCCGCCACGGCCCCTCCCCCGCGGCGCTCGACCGCGCGACGCGCGAGAACCTCGGAGGGATCGACCACCTCTTCGCGGCGGCCAAATCCACGGGCACGCTCGACATCAGGTGCGTTCTATACAGTGGTCCCCATACGACCCCGTTCGCGTGGTGAACGCCGATCCTTAAGGACTTTGCCCGGCGCGTCTCTCCGCCCATCCCATGCGTTCAATCCCCGCCATCGACGCCTTTCAACTCCATCTGACGCCTTTCAACTCCACCCCGACATCGCTTCGTACGATGGAACGACCGCGACCATCAGCGGCCGCGCGCTCCGACGGATCCCTCCGCGGGTGTTCGAAGACGTCGCGAGCGACGGCGACGGCGACGACGGCGCGGACGAGAACGCGAACGCGCGCGGCCGCCGGCCGCCGCCGAAGACGATATCGTTCGACGACGCGCGCGGCGACCGCGACGACGGACCGGCGTGGTGGGAGCGCCGCGAGCTCGCTTCGCTGGACGCGTCGCGGAATCAGATCGATTCGCTCCCCGACCGAATCGCGTCGTTGACCGCGTTGGAGAAGTTGGACGTGTCGCACAACGTCCTCACGTCGCTGCCGGGGCTCGCGTTGGAGCGATTGCCGCTGCGATCGCTGGACGCGTCGGGGAACAAGATCGCGGAGCTGCCGCTGGCGCTGCCGTGCGAGACGCTGGCACGTCGTCGCGCGTCGTGGTCGTCGTTGTTTTTTCGCGGCGTTTTTTTTCAAACCCAGCTGTCGCCGCCGCTTCGAAAGTCTCACCTCCACCGCGCCTCCCTCCTCTGCGACCGCAGGCGAAACTTTGCGTCGGGGGTAATAAAGAGCTCACGGCGCTGCCGCACAACATCGGCGCGTGCGTCCGGCTCGCGGAGCTCCGCGCGCCGAATTGCTCCCTCGGGCGCGTTCTCCTTACACTGGTCCCCATACGACCGCGTCGGCGTGGTGAACGCCGTTCCTTAAGGACTTTCTCTCCCGGCGTGTCTCTCCGCCCATCCCTCGCTTTCAATCCCGACACACCTCGATGCCTTTCAACTCCGCTTCTGACGCCTTTCAACTCCACCCCGATATCATCGCTCGTACGGACCCTCGACCCTCAGCCGCGTCCCCGACTCGCTCGCGCGGTGCCATCAGCTCGTCTCGCTCGACCTCTCCGGGAACCTCCTCGGCGCCGGCCTCGCGCCGGACCTCCCGGACGCGCTCGCGACCGGGCTCGTGAACGTCCGCGAGCTCAACGTCTCGAGGAACCGGCTGTCGAGCCTCCCGGAGAGCCTCGGCGCGATGCGTCGCCTCGCGCGGCTGGACTGCCGCGAGAATGAGATTCGCGAGCTGCCGGCGTCGGTGGAGGGGTGCGATTCGCTCGCGGAGCTGTACCTCGGGCACAACCGCCTCGCGACGATCCCGGACGAGATCGGATTCGTCGCGTCGCTGCGGACGTTGGACGTGTCGAACAACGCGCTGAAGGAGCTGCGACCGTCGCTTGCGAACGTCCCTCTGTCGTTGTTGGACGCCTCGGGAAACGACATCGTCGCCGTCGCGCCCGAGCTCGGTCGGTGCGTCACGCTGCGCAAGCTGATGCTCGAGGGGAACCCGCTCAAGTCGATCCGGTACAACATCCTCGCCGGCCCGACGCGCGAGCTCCTCGCGCACTTGCGGAGTAAGCTCAGCGACGAGAGGGACGACGTGAACGCCGCCGCGGCGGCGTTTGGAAAGGTTTTCATCGGCGCCGACGACGCCGTCGTGATCGCGTCGGCGACGCACGCCGACCGCGTCGCGTTCGAAGGCGGCCGCGGGACGCTGCTGCTGCGCGACCGCGGCGTCGAGAGGGTCCCTATCGAGGCGTGGGATATCGTCGCGACGCGCGTCGCGTGCGTGGATTTAGGATTGAACGGGCTGAAAGGGGACGCGTGCGGCGGCGGGAGTAATTCGGACGCTCTCGCGACGGCGGTTGGGAAATGCAAACGGCTGGAGACGTTACTGCTCGACGGGAACGACCTGTCGTCGTGGCCGCTGCCGCACGACAACGCGCCGCCGCTGCCGCTGCTCGAGATGTCGCTCGCGAACAACGCGCGCGTGGGCGGCGCGGTGCAGACGCGCGGGGTGTTTAGCCGAGCGTCGAACATGACGCGGCTTGATCTCTCGGGCGTCGTGATCGCCGCGCGGTTCGTCGACGACGGCCTCCTCGGCCCGCTCGCGAACCTCGTCGAGCTGCGATGGGCGCGCGGCGACCTCACGCGCGTCCCTGAGGACGTGTACTGGATGCGGAAGCTGCGCGCGCTCGCGCTGCCGGACAACAGGATCGGGGAGCTGCGCGCGGAGGTGTCCGAGTTGACGCAGGTGCGTTCTATACACTGGTCCCCATACGACCGCGTCGGCGTGGTGAACGCCGATCCTTAAGGACTTTTGCCGTCGTCTCTCTCCGCCCACCCCTCGCTTTCAACCCCCGCCCTCGGCGCCTTTCAACTCCAACTGACGCCTTTCAACTCCACCCCGCCATCGCTTTGTATGGAACGGCCCTCAGCTGGACGAGTTGGACCTGACGAATAACGACCTGCCGAACTTGCCCGCGGAGCTCGGGCTCGTGCCGCTGCGCGCGCTGAAGGTGGAGGGGAACATGCTGCGGATGATCCGGCGGCCGATCCTCGAGCGAGGGACGCAGGCGCTGTTGGAGTATTTGAGGGAGAAGTTGCCGAGCAGTAGGCGGTGACGGGATGACTGGAAGTCGAAAATAAATCTCATCAGATAAATCCACCCACTCGGTTATCGGTCCGTCCGAGGTCCGACGAGGTTCGAGAGCCCGCGCTCGAAGCCACGACACACGCCCAGCGCGCGCGCGCCCGCACCCCCCCCGCGATGCCATCGCGCCACTCCCACCGCGCGATCGGCGACGTCCTCCCCGGCGCGCGCGACGCCGACGCCGTCCCCGCCGCGCCGCCGACGCCGACGCCGACGTCCGTCCTCTCCGAGGTGCCCGTGACGACCGACGTCCCCGACGAGACCGTGGACTTCGACCCCGCGCGCCGTCTCCTCTTCGGCTGGTCGCTGCGGCGGCTCCTCGACGCGAAACCGCCGTCCGCGGTCGTGCGCCTGCGACGCGGCGACACGATCGGCGACGCGATGGCGACGCTGGCGAGGCACGGGATCATGTCCGCGCCGGTCGTGGACGAGGAGACCTCGCACTTCTACGGGTGCGCGCGAGAAGAGCACATCGAAGTCGATCTCACAGCACAACCGCCGAAAACCAAAAAGACGCCTTCCCGCCGCCCCTCCCTCCCCGCAGGTTCTGCTCGTGCCTCGACATTCTCCACGCGTTCATGGCCGGCGTCGACCCGTCGCTCACGCGCGCGTCGTACGCCTCGAAGCTCACGCGCGAAGAGCGCATGCGAGAGCTCGACGCCGTCGCGGAGGACTTCCTCGCGGCGACGCTCGAACGCGTCGCGACGTCGCCAGACGGCAAACTCGTCCGCGGCGGTGAGAGACTACGAGCTTATAGACCGCGTCCCATACGACCCCGCGCGCGCGTCGAACGCCGTTTCTTGAGGACGTTCGATTCCCCGTCGTCACGTCACCGCTTGCCTCCCTTTCAACGCGCGTTCGACCGGCACGACGCGCGACTGACGCCTCCGCGTTCACCCCGCGCGTCGATCGATATCGATCGCTTCGCCCTTTCAAAGGCGACGGCGACGACGCGACGCTGTTGGACGTCATCTCGCACGGGTTCTTCCACCTCGCGGACGCGCACGGCGACGGCGCCGCGCCGCGCGCGCGGTACCACGTCGCGCGACGCGATTTCCCGCCGCCGCTGACCGTGAATCAGCTGCGGCATCAGCAAGAGGTCGGCGGCGGGATCGCCGCGGGCGTCGAGTCGTTACGGATCCCGGAAGAGCCGCCCGCGTCCGCGCGCGATATTCTGGATACCGAAATGACCATGGAGGACGCGGACGCCGAAGACGCGGAGAACTACGCCCCGGACACGTTCGTGCACGCGCTCGGGGTGTGCCATCGACTGGCCATCTTCGATGCGGACGACGACGACGACGCGACGCCGTCGCGCATCACCGCGGTCATCTCCCAACTGGACATCATACGCTTTTTACACCGCCGCGCGGATACGCTCGGCGGCGTGCAAAACGCGAGCCTCGCGCGCCTCGGCCTCGCCGGCGAGTCCAGACAGACGCGAGACGCGGTCGTGACCGCGCAGTGGGACCGCCCCGCGATCGAGTGCTTCAAGCTGATGCACGACCGAAGGGTCAGCGCGGTCGGGGTGGTCGATCAGGCGGGCGAGCTCGTCGCGAACCTCTCCGCGTCGGACCTGAGGCGCGTTGCGTTCGTATTCACACTGGTCCCCATACGACCGCGTTCGCGTGGTGCACGCCGATCCTTAAGGACTTTCTCTACCGGCGCATCTCTCCGCCTACGTACCCCTCGCTTTCAATCCCGACACACCTCGACGCCCGCCTTTCAACTCCGCTTCTGACGCCTTTCAACTCCACCCCGACGTCGCTTCGTACGGACCCTCGACCCCGAGACGACTCGACGCGGCGTCGTTCCGCCTGCTCGCGCTCCCCGTCGCGGAGTTCATATCGCGCAGGAAAGGCGACGCGATCGGGCGACGCGGCGCGCCGTTCGCGGAGGCGCGGCGCGTGGACGCGAGAGCCGCGAAAGCCGGCTACGAATCGTCCTCAGAGTCCGACGCCGCCGTCGCGTCCGTCGCGCGCGCCGCGAGAGCGCAAAAAAAAGCGTCGCTCGACGCCGACGCCGACGCCGCGGAGGCGCTCTTGCGGGACACGCGGCTCAACTCCTCGCGGACGTTCGTCGAGCTCATCTTCGCGCGGAAGGAGACGCCGCTGCGGCGGGTGCTGCAGCTGATGGCGACGCACGACGTGCATCACGTGTACGTGATCGACGAAAACGACCGACCGAACGCGATGATCACGCCCACAGGTGCGTTCTGTTCACTGGTCCCCATACGACCCCGTTCGCGTGGTGAACGCCGATCCTTAAGGACTTTGCCCGGCGCGTCTCTCCGCGCACCCCATGCGTTCAATCCCCGCCATCGACGCCTTTCAACTCCATCTGACGCCTTTCAACTCCACCTTTCAACCCCGCCTTTCAACCCCACGGACGTGCTGCGGTTGTTCGCGGTGGACGATCGCGAGAGCGCGTGGTGCGAGGCGTGGGCGCCGACGTACGGAGGGACCGAGGGAGTCGTCGCGTGAGGAGTGAGGGGAGGAGGATGAGGAGGAGGAAGAGGGGGAGGAACGAAGACGGGAACGAATGTGATGCGAAGCGTCTGTTGACGCGCGACGTCGTGCCGTAGTTCGCGCGCGTATGGAATGAAAACGTACATCTATGAGTTCGTCGCGCGCGCGTCGTCGTTCGGTGCCGTGGGGTTCATCAATATTCGTCGTCCGTCTCCGTATTCGTCTGCTCTTCGTCTTCAGACTGCTCTTCGTCTTCAGACTGCGACTCGTCCGAAGACTGCGACTCGTCCGAAGACTGCGACTCGTCCGAAGACGGAATGGGGCTTGGGAGCGCGTCGAGTTTCAGCTGCCACTCTATCTCCTTGACATCATCTTGCTCGACGCCGTTGCCCCATCTGTAGTTGAAGGCAGTTTCAGCGAGAGCCGTCCCGTGCCCCTGCTCCGCGGCCTTTTCCATCCACACGGCAGCCCACGTCAGTAGAGTCTCTGCGAGCTCGAACTGGTGAATCCTGTCGCCGTCCTTCGCCGCCTCGCGATAGAACTCGACCGCTTTCTCGATGTTTTTCTCGACGCCTTTCCCGTTCATATACGCTTTCGCGAGGCAGTAAGAAGCCCCCGTGCTACCGAGCGCGGCTGCCTTCCGGAGCCAAGGGAGCATCTTATCGTACGCATATTCACATGAGTAGCTCTGACCAATCGCGTACACGCAGATTGGGCCAACCACGCCCGCAGCACCATCATCATCATTCAGTATTCGTATGCGACCGTTCTCGACGCACCCAGTGCTCACGACAAGTTTTTTGAACTGCTCTTCGGGGAGGTCTAAGACGCCCTCGTGAAGCATGAGGTACTCCAGCTTCTCGACGCCTTCACTACGCTCGTTTTTGTATCCATGCGTCCAAGGCTTGCGCCCTCCTCGCGCGCACCCGGCGAAATCGAGGCCGCCGTCGCGCGGTAGCGAGCGCGCGTGCTTCGAAGCGCGGTTAAACGCCGTGCACGTCGACGCGAGCGCGAGCCGGTCGGTGACCGTGGGCACGTGCGCGAAAATCTCGCGCGCGACGTCGTCGGGGAGCTTGGGGATCGGCATAGGGTCTTCGACGGTGCCGCGGAACCAAACGCGCGTGCGTGAACGTGCACGCGTGAACATGGACGATCTGAGCGCGCGGGGGCGTCGCGCGGAGTGTCCCGAGGTCGTTCGTTGTTGAAAAGACTGGAAGAACAGACAGGATTAGACGACCGTCGAAACCGACGGAAGTTCTGTTGGCGTGCTTCGCGCCGACACTCCGTCGCGCGCGCGCGCGAGGCGGACGTCCACCGCCGCTCGCGATGGCCGAATCCATCCGGGACTTCTTCTTCCCCGAGGGCACCGACGGCGCGCCGCCGCCGGCGCGCGATGCCGACGCCGGCGGCGGCGGCGTCGTCGACGACGGCGTCGACGGCGACGACGCGATCACCGAGGACGACGAATTCTTCCGCGACCTGAAGCAGGTGGACGATCTCGTCTCGCGCGCGACCGCGCAGTGGGCGATAAGCGAATCGCAGAAGGCGAGCGCCGCCGCGGACGCGTCGCCGACGCCGCCGCGGACGCGCCCGGCGCGACGCCCGGCCGCGAGGAAACCCCCGGGCGACGGCGGATCGCCGAGAGACGTCGCCGCCGCCGGCGGCGGCGGCGGCGGCAAAGTCGGCATCCCGCCCGCGCGTTCATCGCCGTCGTCGTCGTCGCCCGCGCCCTCCCCCGGCGCGGTCGCGCAGATGTCCATGGCGCGGGCGCAGGTGGACGCGCGCCGAGCGAAGCTCGCGGTCGTGGAGACGCTCCTGGAGGCGGAAGCGCCGGACGCGGCGAGGCTGGCGTCGATGACGAGAGGCTGGACCGGGGAGGAATTCCTCGCGATCGCGGAGGAGCGGTGCCTCGCGGGGCGATGCGGCTGGCCGCTCTGCGGCGTCGACTTGAAGGCGGCGACGAGGACGGCGGCGTCCGACGACGACGCGAGAACCGCGAAGGAGGAGGAGGAGGAAGAAGAAGAGAGCCCCGCGGGGACCGAAGGGAAGCGGCGCGGCAAGTACAGGATCGACGCGAGGAATCGCAGGGTGTACCTCCGCTGCGACGTGGAGATGTTTTGCGGCGAGGCGCATCGCGTCGCTGCGGAAGATTACGGCGTCTCCCTGGCGATCGACTTGGAGAAGGACGCCGGCGGGGGGAGCGACGACGACGATGAAGATAACGATAAAGATAACGACGACGACGACGACGACGAGAATGAAATGATCGGGGGGAACGAAGAGGAGGCGAAGCGCAACGCGAAGGTCAACGAGGCGAAGAATACGCGTCGCGAGGCGATCGAAAACGTCAACGAAAACGTCAAGATGGCCGTCGTCGAGCGATCGACGACGGGGAGGAATCCGTGCCCGCCGAAGCCGCCGACGGCGTTCGGGGACGCGCTCGCGGCGGCGTACAGCGTCGAGGGGTACACGAGCGCGAAGATGGACGCGGCGAAGAAGAAGCTCGCGGAGGCGCCGGCGGCGAAAGGGGTGCTCAAGAGCTCTTCGGGGCTCAAGGGCGGGTGGCTCGGGAAGAGCGCGACGAGTAAAAAAGAAGCCGACGCCGGCAAGGGCGTCAAGTTCGACCGATCCATCGTGACCGGGCCGACCGGGAGCGATTTCGCGGATGTCTCCGAGGAGGAGCGAGCCGCGATCGCGGCGGACACGGAGGCGACCGCGGCGGAGGCGCGTCGACGCGAAGCCGCGAAGGAGGACGCCGCGAAGGACGCCGCGAAATCGAAAATCGGCAAAACCGCGGAGGAGACGGAGCCCAAGTTTTTTTTCGACATCTACGGCGAAGGCGGCGCGGAGTCGCGGGAGAAGAAGAGCGACACGATCATGGGGATGTACTCGGAGGGGCAGATTTCGAGGGTGACGGAGATGACCGGCGATGATGTCGGAGAAATAGTGTCGGACGACGACGAAGCCGCCGCGTCCGATGCGATGACGGATGCGTTCGATGCCGCGAACGCCGCCGCCGCCGCCGCCGCGGCGTTTGAAAAGTCCGGCGACGAAGCCGCCGCGGAGAAAGCGCTCGCGAAAGCGCGCCAGGCGCTGCGCGCGGCGATCACCGTCGCCGCCGGCGACGACGACGACGACGGCGCGACGACGGACGGCGAGAGCAGCGCGGACGGAGGCGGGACCCCGGCGCCGCCGGTGTCCGAGTTTGGCCAGACGTGGATGATGCTCGACGGCTGGGTCACCAGGGCGACGTTCCACTACCTCAGCGGCGGACGAGACGGCGCGATGATACGAACGGCTGGAACGACTGGAGGGGAAGATGGAACGTCAACGACCGACGCGGACGGCGACGAGGATCCCGTGCTGGGCCCGGACCTGCCGCCGCGGAGCCCGTTCGAGGCGGCGGCGTCCAAGGCGGCGGGCGCGGAACTCTCCCGCGCGTTACCCGTCGCGTGCCGCATGCTGAAACTCCGCTCGTCCTCCACGGCGCTGGAGCGCCCGCTCGGACGGCTGCTGCGGACGTTCTTCTTCCAGGGCGCGGTCCCGGCGCTGAAACCCGCGCGGTGGACGCTCGTGTGCGCGGTGTTGTTGGAGGCGATCGGCACGCGGAGGCTGGCGGAGGGGGAACGCGACGACCGGCCGCCGTCGCTCGCGGAGGATTTCGCGCGCGAGGTGCGTTCTATACACTGGTCCCCATACGACCGCGTCGGCGTGGTGAACGCCGATCCTTAAGGACTTTTCCCGGCGTTTCTCTCCTCCTACCCCTCGCTTTCAATCACCGCCCTCGACGCCTTTCAACTCCAACTGACGCCTTTGAACTCCACCTCGACATCGCTTTGTATGGAACGACCCTGAGACGGTCGCGAGCCGCCGCGGTTTGGACGCGATATTGGAGCAGGCGGGGTCGTGCGAGGACGAGAGGAAGGTTATGCTGCAGCTCGTGACGGGCGCGTGCGCGAAGGGATGGTGATGAGAGCGATGAGGTCGAGTGAGTCGCCGGAGTCGGATCTCGCGTGATGGCCTTATTACGAGTAAAAGATTCTAGAATCGTCGTCGAAACGCAACCAACGCGCGAGAGTCCTATATCATCGATCCTATGACGTGGAACCCCGCGGTCAGCGCCGCGTACGTCGCCGCGGTCGCGGCGACGCCCTTCCCGAGCTCCCTCCCGCGCGGACAGCTCCGGTCCTCGCCGCCTATGAACCCGTACCATCGCAGAAGTCGCTGCGCCGCCGGCAGCGTGACGAACACCGCCCCCGCGGACGTCCACGACTGAATCGCCAGACACTTCACCGCCGGCGACACGCCCTCGAGTAACGCCGCCACCGCAGCCGTTACCCCAAAACTCCCGCCGTCCGCCGACGCCAACGCCGCGCGCTCGAGCGCGGGAAGAATGAACAGCGTGTTGAGCTCGAACAAGGGATACTGCGCGAGGACGACGGCGGCGTACACTTTCCACGACGGCACCTGCGTGGGGTTTCAACGGGGTGAACGGTGGGTCAGTCGCGCGTCTCGCCGGTCAAACGAACGACGTCGTTGAAAGGAACGCGCGGGTGAAGAGTGATAGCACGACGACGGGGGAAAGAAATGTCCTTAAGGATCGACGTCCATAACGCGAACGCGGTCGTACGGGACGCAGTCTGAAGCGCGCACCGGCGACGCGTTGGATCGCGCCGACGCGGTCGCCGTCGTCGCGTCCGCGGGAAGCCACCCTCCCAACGACCCGTCGTCCGTCTCGATCGCGCTCGCGCGCGCGGTCAGCGGCGCGGCGTCGCCGGTCGCGGCGTCGCCGTTGAACCGCTCGCCGAGCTTCAGCCACTCCCTCCGTCGGCGGCTCACGCGCCACCGCTCCAAGTCGTCGCGGCGTTGAAACACGACCGCGACGGTCTCAGGGTCGAGGGTCCATACGAAGCGACGTCGGGGTGGAGTTGAAAGGCGTCAGAAGCGGAGTTGAAAGGCGTCGAGGGCGGAGATCGAAACCGAGGGGCGGGCGGAGAGACACGCCGGGAGATAAAGTCCTTAAGAAACGGCGTTCACCGCGCCGACGCGGTCGTATGGGGACCAGTGTCAGCGCACAGAACGCACCTCGCATCTCGGCGCGCCGCTGTGTCGGACGTGCTCGAGCCCCTCTTCGCCCTCGGCCATCTCGTCCGAGGCGTGCGCGGGGAAGTGCACCCACGAGAAGCGTCCGGGGCCGAGCGACGCCGACGCGCGATTCGGCGACGCGACGCCCTCGCGCTCGTCCTTGTCTCGGAGCACCGCGTCGATGAGCGACTTGCCGTCGTTGAGCCATCGCTCGTAGTCGTCGCGCTGCGACGCGTCCACCACCTTGCTCGTGCAGACGAGTATCGCGGGCTTGAGCGCGGCGGCGGCGGCGGCGGCGTTCGCGCGCGACGGCGACGGCGACGGCGACGGCGACGGCGACGGCGACGGCGCGACGGCGAACGACGACGGCGGCGACGACGACGACAGCGCTCGCGCCAAAATCGACGGCGAGGGTGCCGCGTGCGCGAACCGCGGAGGAGGAGGAGGCGGACGCGTCGCCCGGGCGAGCGCGCCGCGCGCGACGCGCGCGCGCCGCAGCGCGAGCGCGAGCATCCTCCTCGGACGACGCGAGGGGACGCGCGAGCCCCCGCGGGCGGGCGGAGCCGTGCGCGGCGCGGCGCGGCGCGGCGCGGCGCGGCGCGGCGCGGCGCGCGCTCTCTGCAGTGCCGGGCCCGCGTCGTCTCGGAGGACGGGACGGTAGAGTGTTGCTGTTGGTCCCTTGATGACTTCTCGTCGTCTCTCTTCCGCCCTTCGAATCATCTGATTCGATTCACTCCGCGCCGCGCACGCGGGCGGCATGGTGTTCGCGACCGCCCCGCTCCTCGCGCGCGCGGCGAAGCGCCTCGGCTTCACGCGCCTCACGACGAAGCGCGCGCGCAAGGGGTACTACAAGGGCAAGGGCGCGAAGAGCACGGGGCGGCACACGAAGGACGGCGAGTACGTCGTCACCGACGACAAGGCGCCGACGTTCGTAGCCCCGCGCGCGGATCTCGCGACGTTCGCGCTCAAGCCGTACGTCGCGCGGAGCGTGCCGAAGAAGCCGTGGCTGCTCGATGGGAAGGAGGGGCCCACCGGAACGACTGCGGCGGCGACGAAGACGGGCGGCGGCGGCGGAGGAGGAGGAGGAGGGGCGACGGGCGCGGTGCCGCCGGGGGCGGCGTACAGCACGATCGCGGGGGCGCCGCGGTAGATCGCAGGCGTCATCGTTTAGGGATTAACTAACTAGTTCAGGACTGCTGACCGTCGTCGTCTCACACCGATACGCGCGCGATGGCGTCGCCGCGCGCGCTCGGCGGCGCGGCCGTCGCGTCGCCGCCGCTCCCGTCGTTCGCGTCGCGTCGTCGCCGGGCGGCGCGTCGCGCGCGCGTCGCGTCCGCGTCCTCCTCCTCCTCCTCCTCCTCCTCCTCAACGCTCGACGTCTTCGTGGAGATCCAGATGCCAGACGGCTCCGTCCCGCCGCGCCTGACGTTCGCGCTGCGCCCGGACCTGTGCCCCAAGTCCGTGGAGAACTTCGCGACGCTCCTGTCCGGCGCCAACGCGGGCGTGGACCCCGCGCTGACGTACCGAGGCTGCGCGTTCGAGCCCTTCGGAGGGAAATACTCGCACGTGTGTAAAGGACGAGGAAAAACCATCTTCGGACCGGGGAAGTTCGTCGAACGCGAGGCGATGAGCGCGACGAGGAACGGCACCCCGGGCGCGGGCGGCGGGACGTACTACGGCGAGCGCGTGGATTTAGACGACGACGACGATCGAGTGACCGTCCTCGCGGTCCCGACGAGCGGACCCGGGTTCGGCGGGAGCCGCTTCGCCATCATGAGGCGCGTTCGTTCTATGTCACACTGGTCCCCGTACGACCGCGTCGGCGTGGTGAACGCCGATCCTTAAGGACTTATTTCGCCGGCGATTGTCTCCGCCTACGTACCCCTCGCTGCTTTCAATCCCGACACACCTTGACGCCCGCCTTTCAACTCCGCTTCTGACGCCTTTCAACTCCACCCCGACGTTCGTTGCTTTGAACGATGGACCCTCGACCCCGATCAGAGTCGGCGACTCGCCCGGGAGTTTACGGCAGCGGCTGCTGACGAACATGATGGTGCTGGGGACGCTGACGGGGGGGTTGGAGACGCTGGAGGCGATGGTGGGCGCGGACGGGCCGTGCGTGATAACCGACGGCGGCGCGCTGTAGTCGCCGTCTGTCGTCTCAGTTCGTTCTGCCGCTAGCTAGAGTATTAAATTGCATTCGCCTCGGGTCGCCTCGCCGCGTCACTCCTCCGCGGCCGCTTTCGCCTCCAGCTTCGCCCGGCGCGCGTTCTCGATGTCCAGCGCGCACATCTCCGCCATCTGCTTCTCGAACGCGTCGAGCTCGCCGTCGACGTCGTCCGCGCCGTACACGTCCCGGCTCCAAAAGTCCACGTCCCTCGAGAGCTTCGGCGGCGTCTTCGACGAGGGAATCGCGTGCCCGAAGGACCGCTCGAGCTCGTCGTCCTCGTCGTCCAAGTCGTCGGCACCCGACTCGGCACCCGACTCGGCACCCGGGTCGGCACCCCCGACCTCCTCTCTCTTCCAGGGCGGCGTCCCCGGCGCGTCCCTCGAGATCGAATCCTCCTCCGCCGCCGCCGCCGCCGCCGCCGCCGCGTCCTTCGCCGCCTTGGCGCGAAACTTTTCCCGCGCCGCCGCCAGCTCTCGCTCCTCCGCGCCTAAACTGCTCAGCCACTCCTTATGCCCGGCGATGAGCTCCCGCATCGCGTCCTCGCCCACGCTCCCGTCCACGGCGTCCATTCCGCCGCCGCGCTCCGCGTTGCGCCGCGCGATGAACTCCGGGAGCGCGCCAACGAGCCGTTCCTTCTCCGCGTTTTTAATCGCGCGCTTCTCCTCCTCGATCGCGCTTCGCTTCGTCCTCGTCAAGCGCGCGAGCTCCTCCTCGCGCGTCTCCACCCAGTCCCTCTCCGCCTCGAGCGCGGTCTGCCCTTTCTTCTCGTCCATCTCGACCTCGCCCTCCCTCCGCGCCTTCTCCCTCGTTGTCCGGAGCTTGTTGAGGCCGGACATGACGTCCTTGCTGTCCTGTACCATCGCGAGCGCGGCCTCGAGCTGCGCGCGGTACTCGGAGTTCCACGCGCCCGCGCGCGCGTCCTCGCACGCGGCGGCGCGTCCTCGCCCGCCGAAACCGCCGCCTCCGCTGGCGGGGCCCGGCGAGCACACGGTCGCGTCGCCCCAGTCCCTGTGGACGTCCGGGTAGTTATGCGTCGACTGCTCCCCGAAGATGGTCGCGCCGTCGAGGTCCGAGTCGTCGCGCCCCGCGGCGGAGAAGTCGTAGTCCGCCGGCGCGTCGCCGAGCGCGAGGTCCGCGGCGACGGCGTCGCGCTCGAGCTGGGCGTCGTCGTGATCGTCGTCCTCCAGGGGAGGGGGGTCGTCGTCGACGGGCGGGTCGACGAGGGGGGGCATGGCGGCCGACGGCGGGCGGCGGGGCGGGAGCGCGCGCGTTCGAATGAAGTGGCGATCTGGAGGACGCGACGCGCGCGTTGACCGTTTACCGTTGGCGTTGGGTGAATCAGTTGAAAGGGGACGCGATCAAATGTTGAAACCGAGCGGTGGGTGAAAAACTACGTTTACCGTTGGCGCCACGGCACGGCGCGCGAGACGAGATGATGAGAGTCTCGGAGGAAGCGACGGCAGAGCGCGGGGGCGCGCTCTGGAAGGCCCGCGGGATGGACGCGCGCGGCGGGCACGACGACGACGACGACGACGCCGCGCACCCGGGGTGCGTCGTCCGTTCTCCCCATCCCATCCCGTCCCCGTCCCCGTCCCGTCCCGTCCCCGTCCCCGTCCCGTCCCCGGGGTGCCGTTTCTTCCGCGCGGACGGACAGGAAGGATCTCGTCTCACGCCGCGCGTCCGTCTCCTCTCGTCCAATGTACAGGTGGGGCGCGGACGCGCGGTATCTCCAGTATCGCGCCGCGGCGCCGCCGCGCGAGGACCCGCTCGCCACGCGCGGGCTCCTCCCGTCGTTCGCCACCGTGCGCGCGTCGTCGTCGGGGACGGGGACGGGGACGGGGACGGGATGCGCGCCGGACCCGAACGCCTCCGCCGCCGCCGCCGCCGCCTCCGCCGAACCGCTCGCGCCGGCGCGTCCGCTGGCCGTCGACGAGATGCTCGCGGACCCACGAGCGGCGCTCTCCGCGATGCCCGAGCACACGCAGCGGCTCATCCTCGCGCAGAGCATGCTGAGCGTGCAGCAGCGATTCACGTCCGAGCTGCGGCGGCGGCACTTTTTACATCTGGACGCGTCGAGGTGCGTTCTATACACTGGTCCCCATACGACCGCGTTGGCGTGGTGAACGCCGATCCTTAAGGACTTTTGCCGTCGTTTTTCTCCGCCCACCCGTCGCTTTCAATCCCCGCCCTCGATGCCTTTCAACTTGCACTGACGCCTTTCAACTCCGCCCCGACGTTCGCTCGTATGGAACGACCCTGAGGCGACGCGCGGAGGTCGACGCGGAGGCCGCGCGCGTCGAAGAGGCGAAGCGAAAAGCGCGGGAAGCCGCGGCCGAGGAGGCCGCGCGCGTCGCTCGCGGCGGCGTGGTCGGGAAAACGCAACAACAAACGCACGACGTCATGGCGTCACGACCGATCGTACGCCGGCCCGACGGCTTGGTCGACCTGACCCCGGATCCGCCGCTCGACGTCCCGACGCACCTCCTCCCGGCGACGACGGCGAACCGATGGAAGATCGCCGCCGCGCTGACGGTGACGAACTTCAGCGTGAAGAAGGCGAAGGATAAGGGCGACGCGTTGCGAGACGCGATGCTCGCGGCGGCGGGCGCGGCGGGGCCGGACGCGATCGCGCGCGCCGGCGAAGGCGGGAAGGAGAACCGAAACGAAAACCAGGAAAATCGCCAAAAAAACGTTTCGGCGCCGCCGCCGTTTGGATACGAGGATCACGAGACGCGTGAGGCTGCGGTCGCGGCGCACGCGGCGGTGCTGACGCGCGACGCGTCGCGCGCGATGAGAGAGAGGAAGTACGTCAAGGCGGAGGTGTTCCTGCGGCAGCTGCTGGACATCGCGTGGAGGGAGGCGGCGTTCGAGGAGGAGGAGGAAGCGGAAGCCGCCGCGCGCGAGAAGGAAGAGGCGGCGAGGAGGAGGAAAAAGAATAAAGCCGCCGCCGCCGCCGCCGCCGCCGCCGCGAGCGGTCGGCCGTCCACGGCGCGCGCGTCGAACGAAGAAGAAGAAGAAGAAGACGCCGACGCCGACGAAGAGATCGTCGACCCCCCCGCGGCCGCGCCGGTGCTGTACCGCCTCGCCCAGGCGGTCGGAAAACAACGCGGCCGACGAAAGGAAGAAGCCGCGCTGCTCCTCCGCGCGTTGCGATCGATCGAAGCCGCGTCGGGCTCTGACGCCGCCGCCGCCGACGCCACGGCGATCGCGCGAGGCGACGCCAACGCCGTCGACGCCGCCGACGCAGAGATGCAGATGCGATACCGCGTCCTCTGCGCGCTGCACGCGTCGCACGCGTCGAACGACGTCGACGACGGCGGCCTCGCGCGCGCGTACGCGGAGCGCGCGCTTTACGTCGCCGCGCGCGCGAAAGGCCCGTGGCATCCGCAGACCGCCGACGCGCACTACCGCGTCGCGTCCGCACGCGTCCGCGCGGGGTGTTACGCCGAGGCGGAGCGGTCGCTGAGCCGCGCGCTCGCGATTCGCGTGCGGACGGACGGCGAGCGGCACCGCGAGACGGGGCGGGTGTTGTGCGCGCTCGCGCAGGCGCGTTCTATCTCACGCTGGTCCCCATACGACCCCGTTCGCGTGGTGAACGCCGTTCCTTAAGGACTTTCTCTCCCGGCGTTTCTCTCCGCCCACCCCTCACTTTCGATCCCGAAGCGCCTCGACGCCTTTCAACTCCGCTTCTGACGCCTTTCAACTCCACCCCGACATCCGCGCAGACGCACAAGCGGATGGGCAATTTCGCGCGCGCGGCTCGGTTCGACGACGCGTGGCGGCGGTGCGCGCGCGGCGACCCGGCGACGACGACATCGGGGCTGCCGCGCGGCGGAGTCCGAGGTGGAGGCGGGTCGTCGATGAGAAGCGGGGTAGCGGACGCGGTGCGCGCGAACGCGAGGAGGGCGCGCGAGGCGCACGTCGAAGAGCGGAGGAACGTCGCCGCGAGGGAGACGGCGGCGGGGGCGGCGCGGTATCACGACGAGGAAGACGAGGAGGCGTACCGCGCGAGCCGAAGTCGGTTCCGCGGCGGCGAGGGCGAGGACGATAGGGACGATAGGGACTACTGTAGGTCTTCTTCTTCGGTGGCGTCGCCGTCGTACAGCGACGCGTCCGGGGCGGACCCGCTGCTCGGCACGTGGGGCGGCAACTTGCAGTCGTTTTCGCCCGCGGCGGCGGACGGCGGCGACGGAGGACCCGGGAGAGCGACGAGACGTCCGGGGGGGGTTCCCGCGCTGGATTTCTCGTCGCTGCCGGGGCCGGACTTTTCCGACGACGAGGACGATAGGGGTGGTGGTGGTGGGAACAGGAAGTAGGGTATTAGAAGGATAGGTGAACGTTCGTGTGTGTTTTACATGTGCGCGCGTGGGTTCAGTCGTCGCGTCGTTTGCGCTTCTTCGTGCCTTGGGGGTTGCACTTCGGGCACCCGGTGGGTCTGCCGCACCTCGTGCGGTGGCACACCATCGCCCTCCACGCGTGCTTGCACTTCAGGCACTTCCACAGCGCCTTGTGGTGCGACGATTTCGTCACCGAAGTCGGCTTCTTATCCGGGTCGACGTATTCCAACAAGAGCTTTTTCCCTCGCTCGCCGTTCTTCTCGCACCACACGTGAAAGTTGTTTCTTTTGGACACCACCGTGTAACACCCTTGACCTCTCGAAAGACAACACTTCGGGCACCCGCGGGGTTCGACGCTCCTCGTGCGGTCGCCCATCACCGCCCGCCACTTGTGCTTGCAATCTTCACATTTCCACAATGCTTTGTATTGAGATCCATACGATACCTCCGTCTTCTTCATCTTCTTGGAGTGGTACTCCCGAAACAATCTCGCCCCTCTCTCGCCGTTCTCGTCGCACCACTCCTCGAACGGTTTGCCCCTGCGTATTGGGCGCCTCATGATCGGCCGGCCGGCGTGCGCGCGCGCGCCCCGAGGAGTGACGACGAGATCCACGACGAACCAAACTTACGGAAGTGACAACGAACCGACGGGAGCTGAGTGGTTTTTTCCCGATACCATTCAGATATCGATGCACTTTATATTTTTAAAATTCAGCCATTTGGCAACGTGTTTGGCATTCGTTTGGATCCATTTGGCATCCATTTGGTATTCATTCGTATGAGCAAACAGTCTCTCGCGTTAGCTCAGTTGGCAGAGCGGAGGACTGTAGTTTCCCATCGACTCGCCGAAAAGCGATCGATACAACTGACCCGAGCGGGGTAACTCCCGCTTCACTAGACTTAACGCACTGAAACCGGTGCGATTGAAACCGTTCAAACGGAAATCCTTAGGTCGCTGGTTCGATTCCGGCATGCGAGAACCTTTTTTTTTTTTTTTCATCGCAGAACTGCATCGATCGATCAACGACGAGCGACGTGTCGGCACGTGCTCCGTCGCGAAACGATCGTCGCGCGCGACGACGACACCGCGACACACGCCGCACGACACATGATGACCGTCCGCGCCGCCGCGGTCGCGTCCAGCTCCACCACCGCCGTCGTCGTCGCGTCCGTCGCGTCGAGAAGAGCGCCGCGTCGCGGCTGCTCGCGCGTCGCCGCGCGCGCGTCGTCCAAGCCGTCGTCGTCCATCATCGCGGACGACGCGTCGTCGTCGTCGTCCTCCTCCTCCGCGACTCGGCATCATCATGCCTCGCGCCGCGGCGTGTTCATGGCCGGCGCGGGCGCGCCGCTCCTCCGCCTCGCGGCGATGACCGCGGGCACGGGCGCGGCGTCCCTCAACCTCACCGCGCGCGCGGCGGCGGCGTCCTCCTACGGCTCCGTCGAGGACACGACGTCGGAGATCGCGAAAGTCCTCCTCGATCCCAAGTACCCGGACGTCTACCCGTTCGACGCGAGCATGATGGCGCGGTACGACGAGAGCAAAGACAGCGCGTTTTACTCGCAGCCGCGGTTCGTGCAGCACATCGACGACGACGCGATCAAGGCGCTGACGGGGTTTTACGCGCGGACGTTCCCGGCGAGCGGAAGCGACGACGTCGCGATGCTGGACGTGTGCAGCTCGTGGTGCGCGCGCGCTGCTTCAGACCGCGTCCCGTACGACCGCGTTCGCGTCGTGGACGTCGATCGTTAAGGACTTTTCTTTCCCGCGTCGGTCGTCACGTCACTCTTTGCCCGCGCTTCCCTTTCAACGTTTGACCGGCGAGACGCGCGACTGACCCACCGTTCACCCCGTTGACCCAGGATCTCGCACTACCCGAAAGATTACGCCGCCGGTCGAATCTCCGGCCTCGGCATGAACGAGGTGCGTTCTACACACTGGTCCCCATACGACCGCGTTCGCGTGATGAACGCCGATCCTTAAGGACTTCGCCCGGCGTGTCTCTCCGCCCAGCCCTCGCTTTCAATCCCCGCCCTCGACGCCTTTCAACTCCGCTTCTGACGCCTTTCAACTCTCCTCGCCTTTCGATCAACAACAGGACGAGCTCAAGAAGAACCCCATCCTGAGCGACTACGTCGTCAAAGACCTCAACGATGACCCGAAGCTGCCGTACGATGACAACACGTTCGACGTCGTCACGAACGCGGTCTCCGTGGATTACCTCACGAAGCCGCTCGAGATGATGAAGGAGGTGAGGCGGGTGTTGAAACCGGGCGGGACGGCGATGATGTCGTTCTCGAACCGGTGTTTCCCCACGAAAGCGGTCAGCGTGTGGACGAGCACTGGCGATTTAGACCACATCTGGATCGTCGGCGCGTACTTTCACTACGCCGGCGGTTTCGAGGGGCTGCGCGCGGAGGACATCTCGCCCAAGCCGGGAAAGACGGATCCGATGTACGTCGTGTACGCCACGAAGCAGGCGTAGCGCCGACCGTAGGTTTTTTGTCGTGCGATGCGATGTGACGGGTATGGTTTGAGCGTTACGTTACGACGATGAAAGGTAGAGAAGAGGGCGTCGTGTGGTCGTGAGGGCTGGCGGCGAGAGAGCTGGTGGTTTGTAATACAGTACCACGCGCCGCGGAGTCGCTCGCCGTCGGCGTCGGTCGGTTTTTTTTTTGGCAGCCCGCGGGCCGCCGCAGCGCAGCGCAGCTCCAGACCGAGCGACGAGTTTCAAAAGATCGATCGATCGCCGCGTGCGACGTCGTCGTCGCGATCTCGACGTCGCGCACACCTCCGGTCGCCACCGCGCCCACCACGACCGCGACGCGATGAACCACCCGTCCGTCGTCGCCGCGACGCGCGCCGCGCGCGACGCGTTCGCCAGAGCGACGACCGGACTGAAGCTCCCGAAGGACTTCTCGATCCCGAAGGTGCCCTTCTCGATGGCTGACCTCTCCAAGCTTAACCTCCGCGCGCCCGCGGGCTGGGAAGAGCGGTTCGCGCGCGTCGGCCTGCACCCCGAGCATCTCAAGGAGGCACCGCACTGGTCCCCGCTCGCGCTCGGCGCCGCGGGCGCGATCCCGTTCCTCGCGCTCAGCGCGCCGGTCGCGAACCTCGTCGGTCTTCCCGATCGCGTCGAAGCGCACCGCGCGCAGATCCAAGCGTCGTACGCGGTCGCGATCGTCAGCTTCCTCGGCGGATGCCACTGGGGCTTCGCCGCGTCCGCGGGCGGCATCGCGAAGGCGGCCGCCGCGCCCGTCTCTTCCGCGGCCGTCACCGCCGCGACCGCGGAGATTTCGCGCGTCGCCGCCGCGCTCGGCGTCTCCGCCGCGGAGGCGAGCGTTCTCCTCGCGGGCCCGGCGCGGTTCGCGTGGGCGACGACGCCCGCGCTCATGGCGTGGATCTCCGCGTCCGCGTTCACGCTCCCGTGGCAGATGGTGACGTTGAGTGGGTCGCTGCTCGCCGCGCTCGCCGCGGACGTTACCGCGGCGAGGCACGGGCTGATGCCGCGGTGGATGATGCCGATGAGGCACGCGCTGACGGCGGCGGCGGTGGCGTCTTTGTTGACGAACGTTCCGTACGCCATCGAGGCGTCGTACGACGAGGTGAGCAGCGAACCGACACTGGTCCCCATACGATCCCGTTCGCGTGGTGAACGCCGTACCTTAAGGACTTTGCCCGGCGTTTCTCTCCGCCCAGGGTCCCTCGCTTTCAATCCCCGCCCGCGACGTCTTTCAACTCCGCTTCTGACGCCTTTCAACTCCACCCCGACGTTCTCCCGCGGCAGGACTCGCGCGAGTCGGAGCTCCGGAGGTACCGCAAGGAGACGCCGAAGCAAGCGCAGGAGCTGAAGAAGCGCGAGAAGTCTCTGTCGGAGAGCGCCGCCGCGGTCGCGACGCTGCGGTCCGAGAAGGACGCGTCCGCGGTCGCGTTGCAGCGGCAGAGGGACGCCACGCGCGAAGCCGAGGCGAGGTTGGCGGCGACGCGAGAGGAGGCGGCGACGGCGAAGAAGGCGCTCGCCGCGGCGGACGACGCGAAGGACGCGGCGGCGCGGGAGCTCGCGGCGGTCAAGGAAGAGCTCGAGCGCGCGGTGAAGGCGGGGGTGGAGGCGAGGAAGGAGTTGAAGCTCGCGGAGAAGGCCGCGAGCGGTTCTTCTTCGTGAAGTGAAGAAGGATGGATTATTTTGACGAGCGACGGATGATTTCGCCGGCGGCGGCGGCGGTCGCTCGTCTCTTCCCCTCGCGTCGTGTACGTGTAATATGAATAGATGTATCGTTATTAATGAATGCGTGAATGAATAGATATGATATGCGCTCGTCGCGCGTACAACAACCGAACCGTGGCGTTCGGTCCTCCGTGATGCATCAATTTCGTCGCGATTTCATCACGGCTGCACGTTCACGGTGATCGTGCTCGCGAACTTCTTTCCAAAGCTCTCGTGCTTCGCGTTCGCGAACTGCAGCGTCAAGGTGTGCTGCCCCGGCGAGAGCTCCAGCTCGCCCTCCTTCTGCGCCTTCCCGAAGTGCACGTGCGTCGCGTCGAACGGAATCGCGTCGCCCTTGGGCACGACGCCGCCGTCGACGACGATGTGATGATGCCCCGTTCCTTCCTGGAGACCCTCGGACGCGGGCGCGAGCTCGTATCCTTTCACGCCCATCTTCACGGGGAACTTCGAGGGGACGGTCGCGCCGTCCTTTGGGGAGATCCAGTACACGCCGTTCTTGCCGTCCTTCGCCGCGGCCGGAGACGGCGCGCCGGTCATGACGAGCGTCATCGCCGCGGAGACCGCGCCGCCGAGGACGAACCTTCGCGAGTTGACGCGATCGGTCCAAGGGATAGAAGAGCGCGAATCGGAAGATTCCGAAGAAGAGTCCTTCTCGTCGTCGGACGACGACGACGCGCGCGGCGGCGGCGGCGCGCGCGCGGCCGCGCGGCGGGTCCCGCGCGCCGGCTTGGAGGCGGCGACTCTGAGCGCCGCGGTGCGCGGCGCGAACGCGGCGAGGGAGGTCATCGCGTGACCGGAGGGTGCGCGCGCGCGAGTGCGCGAGCGGAAGCGACGACGCCGCGCAAATGCCGCGTGTCGAGCTGGCAGCCTCGCAGCCGCCAGCAGGTGTACCTGAATTCCACCCTTTCAGCGCGCTTTTTTTCACCCGATCCTCGGGTTCAACGTTTCCCGTCCGTCCCCTTTCAACGGACCGACGTCGATCGACATCTTATCCTTCAATATTTAGGCGAAGAAAACGTGCTGACGCCGCGCACTCCCCGTCCGCGATGATCGGCCTCGCCTCGCCCTCGCTGACGCGCGGGATATGCGCCCCGGCGCGATCCCTCGCGGCGCTGACCAGACGGCGTCTCGGGTCCGCGCGTAACGCGCGCGATCGCGGGGCTCTGCAGATCGTCAGCGAAGGCACCGGGCGGTTCATCGTCGGCGGGAACTGGAAGTGCAACGGCGATCGCGCCTCCGTGACCGCGCTCATCGAGGCGTTGAACGGCGGCGACGTCGGAGACAACGTCGACGTCGTCGTCGCGCCGCCTTTCTTGTACGTCGACCAAGCGCTGAGCGAGCTGAAGTCGCCGATGCAGGTCGCGGCGCAGAACGCGTGGGTGGAGTACACGCTCGAGGACGAGACGCATCACTACGACTCCGACAGTGGGGCGTTCACGGGCGAGGTGCGCCTTTCGCGCGACTCGACTCGACCGACGACGGGAGGAGGACGCGACCGATCGATCGATCGACCGTTCGTCCGTTCGGATATCGGTCGATCGGTCGACGACGCCGCGCGGTGTCACGTCTCGACGACGCGATCCGACCGCGCCTTCGATCGCCGTCGCCGTCGCGTCGTCCCGAACCGCCGTCGGTCTATCCATCCGTTCTGTTCTCTTCGCGCTCCGCCGTCCGTCCGCGACCACACGATCCGCCACGTCAGCGACGAGGACATCGTGCTCACCAATCAAAATCATCCACGCGTCGTGCCACCGCCAATCACATCACTCGGTCAACACAGGTCAGCGCGGAGATGCTCGAGGACATGGGCGTGCCGTGGGTCATCCTCGGGCACAGCGAACGCCGGACGCTCCTCGGAGAGGACGACACCATGGTCGGGAAGAAGGTCGCGCACGCGCGGTTCCACGGCCTCAGCGTGATCGTGTGCGTCGGCGAGTCTCTGGAGCAACGCGAGGCCGGCGCGACGATGGACGTCATCTTCAAACAGCTCAGGTGCGCGAGCCGAGCGCTTACGCTTTCTTCTTCTAGACGCGTCGGCGCCGTGCTTTTTCGGTTTTCGTTTTTTGTCATCGGTTATCACCGGTCGTCGTCGCGCCCTTCCCCTCTGATCACTGCGTCCCGGACGAACCGTCGAACGAACCCTAATCCACCAACCCTAAACCCCAGAGCCGTCGCGGACGAGATCGACGACCGCGAGCACTCGTCCTGGGGCTCGCAAGTCGTCATCGCGTACGAACCCATCTGGGCCATCGGCACCGGAAAGGTGGCCACCCCGGAGCAAGTCCAAGCCGTGCACGCGGGAATCCGGCAGTGGCTGAAGGACAACGTCAGCGAAGAGGTGTCCAAGGCGACGAGGATTCAGTACGGCGGCAGCGTCAACGAGGGAAACTGCGAGACGCTCGCGAGGGAGAGCGACATCGACGGGTTTCTCGTAGGCGGCGCGAGCCTGGACGCGACGAAGTTCGCGCAGATTTGCAAATCGAGCGCGGTGCACTACAAAGCCGTCGGGCGGGCGTAGGCGCGCGCACGCGCTGTGCGTCCGTCCATCGCGCGCGGCGCGGCGCGGCGCGGCGAGGGAAGCGCGAAGGCGGTGTCGGTTCGGCGGTTCGTTCGTTCGTTATACAGTCATCAATTGATTACAACCGCGATTCGTTCGTCGTCGCGCGTGCACGTAGTCGTACAACTCTTTCTCGTCACAAATTAATTCTTTTTGGTACATGCATGATCGATCGATCGATCGACGTCTTCCGCCGTCGTGTCGTCCGTCCGTCCGTCGATCAGTTCGCGGCGCTCGTCTTCACCGGCGCGCGCTTCACCCCGCTCGACACCGGCACCACGCCGTGCCCGAGGCCAGGAGGCGCCACGACGTCGATCGACTCGCCCACGGCGCTCATGAGCCGCCGCCGCTGCGCCTCGATGGCGAGGACGCTCCCCGCGCTCGTCCCCGGGGATCCCTCCGGGGACTCCCCGCCCGCGATCGCGTCGTGCGAAATCTCGAGTAAATCGCCCATGTGCAGCTCGATCGCGGGCTCCGCGCCGCGAGGGACGGTCTCTCTGTTGACCGAGACGGACGAGACCGTCTGGAACTCGCTCAGTCGCCCGTCGTCGACGCCGAGGGCGAGCACCGCGTCGGACAGCGCGGCGCCGCGCGGCACCTCCAACACGCGCATCGCGCCGTCGACGACGGCGACGACGAAGATCGGCGCCGGCGTCGCGGGCTCCGCGTCGACGCCGCTCGATTCGTATTCCCGATCCGCGCGGGAGGAGTGGGATCGATCCGCGGGGGAGGAATGCGAATGCGAATCGTCGCACGAGCCGCAGAGCGCGCTGTCCGCGGAGACGAGCGCGCCGCCGCGACCGCGCGAGGATCCAAACGCGACGACGCCCTCGTCGTTTTCGCACGTCGACGCGTGCGCGGGAAACGCGCACGGGCACGCGGACGGAACCATCGCCGGAATGCCGGAATGCGAATCGCCGCCGCCACTGGAAGGGGAATGCGAATCGACGCGACACTTGTCGTCCGCGAGCTGCCCCTGCCACGACAGCATGAACCGCGCCCACGCGATCTGCTCATCCACCGCGCGCAGCGTGCTCGACGCGCCGCCGCCGCCGGCGTTCAATCTCGTTCCATCTTCCAACCCGCCCGCCGCGTGTTCCGGCTCCTTGTACCGCCAGTGCGCGGCGAGGCCGTACTCCGCGGCGTCGTGCATCTCCCGCGTGCGGATCTGAATCTCAAACGCGCGTCCCGACGCGTCGCGGACCACCGTGTGCAAGCTCCGGTACCCGTTCTTCTTCGGCGAAGCGACGTAATCCTTCGTCTTGCCCTCCACCGCGGTCCACCCCTCTCGCGCGTGCACCGCCGCGAGCGCGGCGTAGCACGACGCCTCGCCGCCGTCGACGATGATCCTCAGCGCGCGGACGTCGTGGACGTCGTGGATCGACCCCAGCCCCTTCGCGCGCATCTTGCGAAACGCCGAGTAGAGCGATTTCGGGCGGCCGCAGACGTCCGACGCGTCGTCGACGCCGGCGGCGCGCAGCGCCGCCGAGACGTCGCCCACCGCGCGCGTGATCGCCTCTCGCTGTTCGCCGTCGCGGAGCTCGAGCGACAGCGCCGCGTGCTCGGCGGGGTGAAGCAGCGCGAAGCACGCGTCCTCGAGGCGCGCCTTGAGCGTCCATATCCCGAGCCGAGACGCGAGCGGGACGAAGACGTCGAGCGTCTCGTCCGCCAGCCGCGTCGCGCGGTCGCGTTCGCCGCCGAGCGCGTCGACGCCGCCGCCGTCGGCCGCGGCGGTCAACGACGTCAGCGTCGCGAGCCTGTCCGCGAGTTTCACGATGACGACCCTCGCGTCCGTGGCCGCGATGAGCATCGCGCGGAGCTGCATGCGCTCCTCCGCGTCGAGCTCGCGCGCCGACGCGCGACGCATCCGCGACACGAGCGCGAGCCTCGAAGCGCCCTTCACCATGTCGATAACCGCGGGGCGGCCCGTGAGCGCTACCGCGAGCTCTTCCGCGATGACCGGCGTGCGGTCGAGGACGTTGCAGAGCAGCGCGGCCGCGACCGCGCTGGAGTCCATCCCGAGGTGGGCGATGATGGACGCGCACTCGACGCAGCGCTTCAGAAACGGCGCTTCAGAACCGTCGACGTCGTCGACGTCGCCGCGGTGCGCCCTCGCGGCGACTCGAAACGCGCTCACGACGCCGGGGAGACCGAACGCGGCGTGTCTCGCCTGCGCGTCGCGGAGTATGGCCGCTTCGACGTCGTTTAGCGCCTCGAGCGGCGGCGTCCCGGTCAGGAGCCCGCTCCCGACGCGCGACGACTTGGTCGGGGAGCCGGACGCGTCCAGCGACCGCCGCGCGGACGTGGGCAGCGGCGGCTTCGTCTTCGTCGGCGACACGATCGACGACCGCGCGTCCTCAAGCTCGATCTGCAGCGCGCTCAGCCCCGCGGAGAGACCTCCCGCGTCGACGACGCTCGCACCCGGGGTAGTAGCATCGGAACCCCGGTCTCGGAACCCCGCGTTGTTCGTCCCAGTTCGCGAACTCGGCTCCAGATGAAACCCCGTCACGGTTCCCCCCGCGGCTGGCGCCACCGGCTTCACGAACACCGCGCGCCCGCGCTCCACGGACGACCGCCGCAGCGACGACCCGCCCGAGTTCGAGAGCGACGAGAACGACTTCCGCGGCCCGCTGCCGGAGAGCGACCCGTTCAGCTGCGTATTTAACGCGGCGCCGTCGCCCGAAGGCGACGACGACAACGCGTGATGCAGCGGCGAGACGCGCGTCGCGGGCGACGCCGACGCCGACGACGCCGTCGCGTTCGTCGTCGCGGGCGACGCGGCGCGGACGGGGATGCCGACGGAGACGCTCGGGGAGGTTCCGAGCATCATGATGATGAACGCGCGAGGCGGTCGGGGGCGCCGCTCTTCACGCGGCGCCGCGAGCGGTGCTTCTTCCGAGCGAGCCCGGCGGCGACCTGATGAGATGAAATGAAAAGGAGACGAAGCGATGCGATCGTCAGTTGAGGTTCGGACGCGCGAGAAAACGAAAACGAGCGGTCGCCGTGAGACGACGGCCCGCGGACGACGCCGCGCGCGCGCGATCGGAGACCGCGGACGCGCGCGAGACGCGAACGCGGCGACGCGCGCGCCGTCGGAGGACGCGATCGCGCGCGCGATCGCGCGACCGCGTCGTCGCGCGCGCCGACGGCGCCGGTCGCCGCGCGCTTCTACCCGTTGCCAAATTTGACAGGGTGTCCGAAAAGCAGGTTTCGCGCGTAAATTCCGCGCGCTTTCCGCCGCGGCGGAACGCGACGACGGCGGCGTCGACGTCGGGTTCGGCCGCGCGGCGCGATCGTCGCGTCGCGCGGGGCGGACAGACGAAGATCGCGGCGCGCGCGAGAGCGTCGGACGTCGCGAACGCGCGCGCGCGCGCGCGAGTTCGCGACCGCCGGCGCGGGGGCCCGCGAGATCTCTCTGTTTCCCCTAAACCGCGCGGTGAGTCGGCGCGGAAACGACGACGCGCGAGCGTTTGAGACGCACCGTGTCCGCGGGCGAGCGCGCGACGTCGCGCGCGAGAGCGCGTAGAGTTCGGTTCGAGCGCGACGCGTCCGCGTGAGGCGTCGACCGGCGTGCGTGCGCGTTCCGAGCGCGCGCGCGTGTGCGGTCGCGGCCTGCGCAGATTTTGACTTCACGCAAGTTTCCCGCGCGACCTTTCGCGAGCTGACGAGGCATATCTGAGGGCCGGGAACGCTCGGCGGGTTTCGTATGGGCTCTTAGTCAGAAAATAGTCGCGCGGGTACGCGTACACGGCACCTGTCTGAGATTCGTCGCCTGCACTGCCTCGAGATTTTTCGACCGAAAACCGAACCGTCGATTTCGAATGTTGAAAGCGATAACGGGGTCAAAGAGACTGATTTTTTCGCGATGAAAAATTGAGTTTCACCGATGCTCGAACCGATGATTCGCGCCCGCCGCGAACTCCCGCCGCGTCGAGTCCTGGTCGAGTCCTGCCGAACGAAGTCTGCTAAGCAAAGTCGGCGGCGGCGTCGTCGCATTCGTCGTTAGAGGGACGGCGCGCTAACGGGGTCGTCTCGTCTCGTCTCGTCTCGTCATGGCGTCCACCAACGGCGTGCCCCCCCACGGCGCCTCCTCCTCCTCCGCCGCCGCCGCCGCTTCCTCCTCCACCTCAAGCGCGGTGTCGCGCTTCCTCGACGAGGTGCTCCTCGCGTCGTCCACCGCGGAAGGACCCGTGCACGCGTGGGATCTCAAGACGGGGATGCAACTTCGCGCGTACAAGCACACCGCGTGCGGGCGCGGCGGGCTGACGCTCGTGGGCGACGACTACCTCGTCGCCGCGCACGTCGCGAAGTGCGCGCTCGATGTCTGGACGCTGGACCGAGAGAGCTCGACGCACAGATTCTTCGTCGGCGAAGCGATCGGCGTCGTCGCCGCGTCGCCGTGCGGCGCGCTCTTCGCCGCGGGCGGCGTCGACGGCGGCGTCTTCCTGTGGGAAACGAGCACCGGGCGGCTCCTGCGTTCGTGGCCCGCGCACTTTAAAGCCGTGAGCGCGATCGCGTTCGCGTGCGACGGCGGCGTCCTCGTCACCGGCGGCGAGGACACGGTCGTGACGACGTGGTCAGTCTCCGCCGCGCTCGACCCGGCGAGAGGCGCCGACGAGGCGCCGGCGTCGACGCACTCGTGGGCGGAGCACGCGCTGCCGGTCACCGGGCTCGCGATCGCGCGCGGCGCCGGGAGCGGCGCCGCGTCGCTCGTGGTGTCTTGCTCCGCGGACCGCACGTGCAGGGTGTGGACGCTGGGGGGGGGGCATCTGCTGCGGACGATGCGTCTGCCGTGCGCGTTGACGTCGGTAGCGATCGATCGTTGCGAGGCGACCGTCTACGCCGGCGGCGCGGACGGGCGGATCTTTGAGATTCCGTTGCACGCGAGCGCGGCGATCGCGGAGAGCCTGGGGGCGGACGACGCGAGCGGCGGCGGCGCGGCGGCGGTGTTGGAAGGGCACGGCCGCGCGGTGACGAGTTTAGGCGCGTTCTCCTCACACTCGTCCCCGTACGACCGCGTCGGCGTGGTGAACGCCGTTCCTTAAGGACTTTTCCACCCGGCGTTTCTCTCCGCCCGCCCCTCCTCGGTTTCAATCCTGACACACCTCGACGCCTTTCAACTCCGCTTCTGACACCTTTGAAATCCACCCCGCCGTTCGCTTATATGGACCCTCGACCCTCAGCGTGCTCCGCGGATAACGAGCGACTCGTCAGCGCGAGCGAAGACGCGACCGCGCGCGTGTGGGACGTCGCGTCGAGGCAGACGACGCACGTGCTTCGGCACCCGAAGAACGTGCCGATGTCGTGCGCGGTGTTGGCGAGGCGGGAGCGCGTCGCGGGCGACGGCGCGGGCGGCGGCGGCGGCGGCGGCGGCGGGGGAGAGAAGAGGAAACTCGCGCCGTTGGCGCCGTTTAGCCGGTTCGCGTCCGGCGGCGGCGGCGGCGGCGCGGGCGGGAAGTTGAAGCCGTGGGAGGGCGCGCCGATCGCGCTGCGAGGCGTCGGCGGCGACGTGGGCGGCGTCGGCGTGGGGGCGAGCTCCGGGGTCGTCGTGAGTTGGGGCAGGGGCGGGGGCGGGGATGGAGAGAAGAAAAAACGCGGGAGGGATGACGCGGCGGCGGAGGAGGAAAACGAAGACGGAGACGAAGACGCGGGACCAGACCTGAGACGGCGCCTCGCCGACGCGGAGAAGGTCGCCTCCGCCGCGAGAGAGGAAACGAAGGCGTGGAAGGCGAAGCACGCGGAGCTGCGCGCGTTCGTCGCGGACGAGCTCGTGAACCGAGAGACGAGCAAGTAGTCGAGCGCGTCGCGTCGTACGATGTCAATCATAGCCCGGCGATGACCTCACGTTCTCGTCGTCGTGTTCCCATCCCGTCGCAGCCTTCGGCGGCGTTCTGTTCTGACCGCGCGTATGTAGTCTACTACGTTCGAGTAGTCTTCTTCAGTTCTCCTTCCCCTCGCGCAGCGGCGTCTCGACGACGTGCGCCCCCCCCCTGACGCCCTCCCCCCCGCGCGGGGTCAGCCCGCCCCTCGTCTTCCCCTCGCCGCGGTAATCAGGCTGGCACGCGCGCGCCGCGAGCTCGATCCTCCGCGCCGCGCGATAAAACGCCCTAGCGCCGTCGCCGTGCGGATGCGCCTCGCACCGCTCCAGCGCGTGGACCGCGATCAACGACACGAGCTCGATCGGGTCCACGCCGTTATTGTTCAGGGTCCCGCTCTCGCCCAACCGAAGCGTCTCCAACCCGCGGTCTCTCATGTGCGCGAGGTTCACCACGGCTCGCGCCGTCGCGTCGCGCCTTGCCTTCGCGACTTGCTTCATCTGCGACGACGACGCCGAGCGCAGCACGCGCTCGATGCACGCGTTGACGGTGCCGGACATGACGGAGGCTTCGATCCGTCGCTTCGCGATCTCGGCCGCCTCCGCGGCGGCCGCCCGCGCCGCCTCCATTCGCATCTCGTCGCGGAGTTCCGCGCGAATTTCCGCTCGGAGTTTCGCCCTCGCGTCGTCTCTCGCCGCCGTCGCCGCGTCCAGCCGCTCGCGCGACGCGCTGAGTTCGCCCTCGAGCCGCTTCGCGCGATTGCGCTGCTTCTTCGCGTCGCGTCGGTCCTTCGCCGCGCGCACCGCGAGGACCCCCGCCCGCGCGGCCCATCGCCACCGTAGCCTCGCGATCGACCCGCGATCTGTTCCCGTCGCCTCGGTCGCCTCGCCGAGCGCGACGGTCAGGCACTCCACGTCCTCGGCGAGCGCGTTGACCTCCGCGTCGCACATCTTCGCCTGCGCTCGGAGCTCGTCCGCGAGCGCGTTCTGGATCTTCTCCGACTCTCGCCGCGTCGCGACGACGGCGGCGGCTTCGCGCCAGCGACCGAGCGCGCTCGCGAGCGCGACGGCGGCGGCTTTCGAGTCCGGCGGCGGGCGCGCGGGCGCCGACGCGTTAGATGGCGATCTCTCCGGCGGCGCGTCGTCGTCGTCGTCGTCGTCGTCGTCGTCTGTCGGTCTGCGGCGAAGCGGCGGGTGCGGCCCGCGCGACGTCAACGCTCGAATCGCCGCGCGCGCTTCCTCCCCGGTCGGGGTCTCGTTCCCTCCTCCTACCCCCACGCCCACGCCGCCGACGCCGTTCGAGGCGGACGTCGACGCGACGTTCACCCCGCGCGCGCCGTGGCCTCGGTTCGAGAAGAAGTCCACGAGCGGCGCGACGACGCCGACCGGGTCCGGGGCTTTTTTCTTCTTCATCGCGGACGCCGTCGCGAGGTTCACGAGGGCGGTCGTCGGCGACACCGACGCGCTGATCCTGTACCCGGGCGACGATTTCTTCTTCATCGCCGCCGCCATCGCGACAGTCGCCTTAGAAGACGACGACGACGACGACGACGACGCCGCGTCCTTCTCCGCGCGGTACGCGTTGTACTCGCGGTAGATGCGATCCGCGGGCGAGTCCTCGAGCGCGCCCGCGCCGCGGCGGCGACGGGCCGCGCCGCCGCCCCCCGCGCCGTCCGTGATGCCCGGCGTGTCGTACGCCGCGACGTCGTCCTTTGTCGTCGTCGTCTGCGGCGGCGGCGTCGCGGACGCGGACGCGCCGTTCCGCAGCTTGGCCGCCGCGCGCGCGGCCGCGGTCGCGAGCGACCCCGCGGCTCCCGGTTTCGTCGTCTCGGTATCGCGACGACGCGGCGCGGACGCCGACGTCGGCGTGAGGGGCAACGCGGAAACGGACGGCGAGCGAGATCTGACGCCCGCCGCGGACGCGCGGCGCTGCGCGTTCGCGATGTCGGTCAACGCGCGGCGCGCGGCGGCTCCGTTTGGCGATCTCGAAGGCGTCGCGGCGGCCTTGGCGCTCGCGACCGCGCCTGCGCGTCGACGAGGAGGATGGACGCGCGCGTCAGGCGACGGAAAACGTTTTCACGACATGAAAGAGAAGGTGCCGAGCCGGCGGGCGCGCGGACGAGATCCGGCGTCGCCGCGACGACGCGGAGGGGAGCGACGACGACGCGCGGACGCACCCGCGTTTTCGATGTCGACGAGAGAGGTCGCGCCGACGTCGAGCGCGGACGCGAGGCGCGCCGCGAGGTCGCGCGTCTCGTCCGTCTTCGTCGTCGTCGTCGTCGTCTCGCGGCGCGTCACAGCTGTCGTCGTCGTCGCGACGAAAGTTCCGGGGGAATGAATGGCGATGTCGTCCGCGACCGAGCGCGCGCCGCGCGGGCGCCGCGGCGTCGAGTCCGCGACCCCGGGGCGGCGCATGCAGCACTGCAGACCGGACGAGGCGTGCGACGCGGTCCCGCCCGGCATCGTGCGCGGGCGCGGGGAGCAGTGACTCGCGCGGAGCGTCTCGGAGTTACTTCCCCTGCCTGGCCCGAAAAAAATGCATTTTTCGAAGCGCGTTCAGATATTTTTGCAGTCCTTTTTTTGAAGCCACGACGACGACCCACCCGCGCGGCACTCTCCCGCCGCCGCCACACGTCGCGCGGACGCGACGATGCCGAAGATCAAGCTCCCGCGGAAGATCCGCGACCTCGAGAAGGAGGCGAACGCCGGGTCTGGAGATGCGGCGTGGGATCTTTACGTGCACTACCGCAACGGGACCGGCGGCGTGGAGAAAAACGACGAGCTCGAACGTCACTGGCTCGAGAGGGGCGCGGAGCTGGGGGACCTTGACGCGCAGGAAATCTTCGGCCTCTCGCATGCGCAGGCTGGCGACTACGGACCCGCGCGCGAGTGGTTCCTGAAGGCTGCGGCGCAGGGCGCCACCCTCGCCGAGTACAACCTCGGGCTGTTCTACGACTACGGCCTCGGCGTGGAGGAAAACAAGTCGACGGCGGCGGAGTTCTTCTTGAAAGCCGCGAAGAAGGGGCATGATCGTGCTCAATGCGAATTCGGGTACATACTCTACTCCGAGCGGAACGATTATGAAGGTGCCATGAAGTGGTATCAGAAAGCCGCGGCTCAAGGCTACGCGCAAGCAGAGTATAACATCGGGATTCTGTACTTCTACGGCGTAGGCGTGGAGCGAGACGAAGCGAAGGCGCGGGAGTGGTTCGAGAGAGCTGCGGCACGCGGGCTCGAACTTGCGCAGGAGCGATTGCCAGGATGGGACACATCAACCACACCTTATCCAGAGACGTCATCGATGGATGTGGTTTCTTCATTCTACATACGCACGGAGAAGCGTTTGGTCGTTAAAGCAGCAGCGGGCGACGCGCAAGCCATCAGCTCTCTCAAGCAATTCCGAGAAGTGAAAAGAAACTCTCTCCTCTATGTTCTGGAACTCTCCGGGTTGAATCTGAGCGACGACGTCGTGGAGCACTTCATATCTGGACCTCTTGCCGATCACGATGCTCGTGATCCCTACCACCATATCGGCCTCTGCTTTCTCCACGGGAGGTGTGGACTAGAGAAGAACCTTCGGATGGCGAAGGATACGTTCAAAGCCTCTGTGATCGAGTTCCCGGACAACCCGGCTGTCGAGGAGGAGCTCGTGAAGCTTCGCGCGTGCGTCACGTGTGGCAAGACCGACGTTCGTTGGGGATGCAAGCTGTGCCGCGGCGTGCGGTACTGCGACAAGCGGTGCCAGCAGCGCGACTGGAACCGCGGCGATCCGCCGCACAAAGAGACGTGCGCGCGCGTCGTGCACATGTTTCCTCCCGGGTTTTTCGCGGCTCTTCGCGAAAAAGTTGCGAAGAAAAACGAAGAAGCGTCTGCCTGATCTACGACGAGAGACGCGCGTGTAACGAATAAACGAACGAAGAACGAACGCACTTCTACGACGCCGCTTCGATTCGCTTAACTTACTACCCTCACCGCTCTCACGGCCTCCCCCCGCCCGCGGGGCTCAGCAGCCCGTTCAAATACCCCCACGTCTGCAACAAGTACGGCCCCACGCTCGGGTCTCGGAACAGCGAGTACAAAAACGAGCTCGACGCCGCCGCCGCGCCGATCGCCCCCGCGGCCCCGGAGACGACCGCGTCGTTGTTCACCCTGCGATCGATCGCGTCCACCGCGTTCGACGCCTCGATCGCGGTCTTCTCGTAGTACAGCGTCCCGGGCGCCGCGGACGAGTCGACGGACGCGTCGCCGGCGTAGTACGGCGAAACCCGCAGCGGATCGGGCGCCGGCGGCGATTCGAATTTTACGACCACCGTCCCGATCGCGTCCACGTTCTTCGCCCCCGCGGCGGCGGCCGCCGCCGCCTCCGCCTCCGCGTTCGCCCGCGCGACCGCGGCGGCGACGTCCGCGAGCGTCGCATCGTCGCCGTTCTCGACCGCGTCGATGAGCGTCAGCGTCGCCTCCTCCGCCATCGCCGTCGTGACGTTCGCCGCGGTCGCGTTCACCCCGGTCAGCGACCCGAACGCGGCGGCGAGCGCGAGCGCCTGCGCTTCGTCGATCCCCTGCGCGCGGACGAGGTACCACGGCATCGGCGGTGGCGCTGGAGGCGGCGACGGAGGCGGCGACGGCGGCGGCGGCGGCGAGGGAGGCGACGGCGGCGGCGACGGCGGCGACGGCGGCGACGGCGTCAGCGCGGCCCAGGCGGAGACGTACCACGGCGGCGCCGGCGGCGGCGGCGACGCGAACGGCCGCTCGAGGTCGTCGTCTTCGTCCAGCAAGATGATCCCGGGAGCGTTCGGCGCGCGCGGCGCGTCCGAGTCGCGCGGTGGCGGCGGCGGCGGCGCGTTCGACGACCCCGACGCCGGCACCGGTCGCACCGGCGGCGGCGGCGGCGGCGGCGATTCCTCCCCGTCCACGAATTCGAAGTCCGGCCAGTTCGGGTTTCGAATCGGGTCGAACACCACCGGCGGCCCCGGCGGGTTCAGCGCCGCCCACTCGAGCATCCACCACGGCGGCGGCGGCGGCGGTGAAGGCGGGGGAGGCGATGGAGGAGGAGGGGGAGGAGAAGGAGGAGGAGGTAGAGGAGGTGGAGGTGGAGGAGGAGGAGGAGGCGGCGGCGGCGACGGCGGCGGCGGCGCTGGCCGCGGCGGCTGCCCCGGGGGAGGAGGCGAAGGCGCCGTCGGCGGCGGCCTTCCCGGCTCGCTCGGCGCCCGCGGCGGCGACCGTTCCGGCTCGCTCGGCGCCCGCGGCGGCGGCGACTTCTCCTCGACGACCACAGGCGACGGCGGCGTCCCCGGCGTCGCCGGAGCCGCCGGCGCGCCTGGTCGCGGCGGAAGCCCCGGCCGATCGGGCGCCGGAGGCGGCATCGCCGGCGCGTCCGGCGGAGGTGATCGCGGCGCACGCGGCGGCGAAAGCGGCGGCGGCGGCGAGATCGTAATAGAATTCGGCGCGCTCGTCCCCGGCGGCGGCGGCGGCCCTGGAGGCCCCGGCGGCGGATTTCTTTCTCCGAGCAGCCCCAACTCCCGCGCCAGCTCCGTCGCCGCGGGCGTCAGCTTCACTTTCATCGCGTCGTAGCACGCCTCCATGAGCAACCGGCTCATGAGCGCCGCGCAGATGCGGCTCCGAATCATTTTTTCGCAGTCCAACGACGCGTGCAGGGCGTCGAGTTCGACGCACTGCGGCGACGCGCCGGGCACGAGGTAACTCACCGGCGGCGGCGGCGGCGGCGGCGGATTCGGGGTCGGCGGCGACGTCGTCTCCCCCTGCGCCGACGCTTCTTCAGACGGCGGCGGCGGCGGCGCTGATGTTGCTTCTTCTTCTTCTTCTTCGTGTTCATCGTACGGCGGCGACGCCGGCGCATCTGGCGTCGGAGGCGTCTCAGGGCGCGGAGGTTGCGCGGGAGACGGCGTCCGCGGCGCGCCCGGAGCGGTCGGCGGCGCGCGCGACGCGACCGGCGGCGTCGCCGGCGCTTCGGGCGTCGACGGCGCGCCCGGCGACGGCATCGCCGCGACGCTCGCCGGAGACGGCGGGACGCCGCGTTCCGAGGTCGACGAGACCGGCACCGGCGGCGGCGACGGCGTGGTCGGCGCGGGAGGAGACCCCGGCGACTCTGGCGAATCCGGCGGCGGCGCGGTCGGCGCGGTCGGCGCGTTCGGCGGCGGCGGTCGCGCGAACATCGACGCCCACCATCCCGATATGCCTTCCGTCGCGTTCGCTGCCGCGGGCGAGCCGTCCAACCCGTGAGGCGGCGGCGGCGGCGGCGGCGGCGGCGGCGGGCGCGGTTCCGGTTGAAGCGCCGGAAAGGGAGGAGATCGATCATCCGCCGCGGTATCCCGCGGCTCGACGGGTCGCGGCGCCGGACGTGGCGGCACAGCCGGCGTCGGCGGCACAGCCGGCGTCGGCGGTGCGCTCGGCGACGTGATCATCGCGACCGGCCGCGGCGATGGACCATCTGGCGCCGCGAACCCCCGCGGCGGCGGCTGAGCGGCCGGCGCATCGGGAACGCCCGGCGGTCCGAGCGGCGGCCGCGCGCCCGGGGGCGGCGGCGCCGCCGGCGCCGCGGGCGACTCCGGCGCGCCCGGCTCCGGCGGGAGATCCGGTCCCGGCGGCAGAGTCGGCACCTGAGGCGCCGCGCTCGGCGCAGGGATGATACTCGTCGCATCCGGCGCCGGAGACGACGGCACGGGAGGCGACTCCGGCGCACGAGGCGACTCCAGCGCACGAGGCGGCGGCGGCGGCGGCGGGCGCGCGAACAGAGACGCCCACCACCCTGACAACGCGTTCGCCGAGTCCGTCGCGTCTTCCGCCACCGGCGCGCCGTCCAGCCCGTGCGGCGGCGGAGGCGGAGGTTCTTCACGTCGCGGCGGCGGTGCCGCCGGAGAAGGAGGAGGTCGAAGATCGGCCGCGCCCGCGGTATCCGGCGCAAGAGGAGAAGGTCGCAGAGGTGTTCCAGGCGGCTGCGGCGGGAAAGACTGCTGCTGCTGCTGCTGCGGTGGCGGCGGCGACGCTCGCGGCGGCGACGCCGGAGGTTCGCTCGGCGCGTCCGGCGACCGCGGCGACCCGTCCGGCGGAGTATATTCCACCGGTAAGGGGAACGCGATCGGCGGCGGCGACGGAGACGGCGGCGGCGGTGCGCCAGGCCCAGTCCTGGCGGGCTGTCCGGGCGTCGGCGGAGCGTTCGGCGGCGGCGGCGGCGGCTGCGGCATTGGCGGCGGCGGCGACCGAATGAAATACGAACCCAACCCATCCAAGATGCGCGCGGCGGCGCTCGTCGTCGCCGGCGGCCGATCCAGCGCGTGCGGCGGCGGCGGCACTCCGGGCGTTCCAGGTGGAGGAGGTCGCCACGGCGAGCGCGGAGGAGCCGGAGGCGGCGCGGGCGGCGGCGGCGGCGGCGTCGGCGATTTTAACACCGCCTCCGGAACCTCGACGATCGGCGCTCGAGGCTGCGCGGGCGACGACGGCACAGCCGGCACCGGCGGCACAGCCGGCGGCGTGTTCAGCGGCGGCGGCGTCGCCACCGGCCGCGGCGGGACGTCTGGCGTCGATGCCCACACCGGCGAAGCGGGAGCGCCCGGCGGTCTCGGTGGCCGAGGGAGCGGCGGCGTCGCGGGCGATCCCGCCGGCGGCGTCTCCGGCGACGACGGCGCGACGACTGGTTCCGGCGGCACGCTCGGCACACGAGGCGCGCCGGGCGAAGGCGTCGTCTCGGCCGACGCCGGCGCTGGCGGCTGCGGCGGCTGCGGCTGCGGCGGCTGCGGCTGCGGCTGCGGCGGCGGCGGCGCGGGAGGCGAATCCGGCGCCGACGGCTGCGGCTGCGGCGGCGGCGGCGTCGCGGGCGATCCCGCCGGCGCCGTCGTCGGCTCCGCGGGCATCGGCGGTGGCGGCGACGGCGTCAGGAACGCTGCGAGACCGGCGTAGATGCGATCGCGCGCGTCCACGCTCCCCGGCGCTCGTTCCAACGCGTGCGGCGGCGGCGGCGGCGGCGGCGGCGGCGGCGGCGAGGCTTCCGTCTGCGCGCGCGCCATATCCACGCTCGGCGCGTCCGGCTGCCGCGGCGTGGGAGGCGCGCCGGGCGCGCCGGGGGCGTCTGGGAACGAAGGCGACGAAGACTTCCGCGGCGGCGGCGGCGCCGACGGCGTGTCGTCCGTTCGAGGCTGCGGCGGCGCGACAGGCGGCGGCTGCTGCTGCTGCGGCGGCGGCGGCGGCGAACTCGGAAGCTCCACCGGCGTTTCCGTCGCCTCCGACGGCGGCGGCCGCGCCTCCGCCCTCGGCGCCGGCGGCGTCGCCGGGCGCTCCGGCGCGCTCGGACGCGGCGGCGGCGCGTGCGGCGGCCGACGCGGCGGCGGCGGCGGCGGCGGCGGTGGCGACGGCGCGAACAGCGGATCGAGCCCGAGCCGTATGCGCTCGAGCGCGTCGAACCGCGCCCCTCGCGGCGCGTCCAGCGCGTGCGGCGGCGGCGACGGCGCCGGCGGCTCGCGCGGCGCCGGGGGCGGAGGCGGCGGCGGCGACGGCGAGAAGAGCGGCGCGAGCCCGCGATCGATGCGCGCGCGCGTCCACGCGGTCGACGGCGCGCGGTCGAGCGCGTGCGGCGGCGGCGGCGGCGACGACGGCGGCGACGGCGACGCGCTCGCGACGCGCGACGCCGCCGCGAGCGACGCCGCCGCGAGCAACAGCAACGGCAGCGCGCGCGTCGCCGCGCCGCCGCCGCGCCGCCCCACGTCCGTCGCCGTCGCCGTCGCCGCCGCGCGCGTTCGCATCGTCGCTCGCGGCGTCGGTCGTCGCGGCGTCCGCCGGTGTCGCCGCGTCCGCGGGGCGCGCGGCCGAGGCGCACGAGGACGCGAGCCTCGTCGCGGACACAGCGCGGAGTGACGCCGGTGCGACGCTCGCGAGCGCAACGCGGTCTCGTTTCGGAGCGCGCGTTCGGAAATCCCACCGGAAACGAGCGCGCGAGGAAACGAGAGACGGCGGCGTCCTTCCGTCGGTCGCGCGCGGCGCGGGGGCGCACTGTCGTCGCGCGCGCGCAGACTCGCACGCACGCGCGCATGCAACGCCCGACGCACCTCACGCCCGCGCCGCTCCTCCCCGTCGCCGAGGGCGGCATCGGCTGGGGGCCGTTCGGCGGCGCCGTGCCGAGACGCGCGAGCGGCGACCCTCGCGCGGCCGCCAGGGCGTCCTCGCACGACGTCATCGTCTTCACCGCGTGCGTCGCGCTCGTCCTCTTCCTCGTCCTCGGCGTCGCCGTCGGCGGCGCGCCGCGCGACGTCGACGTCTCCTCCGCGTCGGCGCCGCGCGAGTATCGCGCCGGCGGGGGTCGGAAGCTGACGCAGTTCCTCGCGCCGGTGTGGTACGCGCTCCCGGGGCTGCGCGACTCGCTGTACAACCTGGTGAGGCGGAAGCGCGCGCTCGGTCGTCGTTTGGTTTTTCCCCTCTCCGAGCTTCTTTTTTTCCCCGTCGCGCGCCGTAGACTCTTCACGTACGACAGTATCACACGCACTATCTCTTCGACGACCGTACCCCGAGGGCGAGGCGTGGACGGACTTCACGATGACACCGTACGAGTACCAGCTCGCGGAAGACCTGAACGCGCTCGCCGCGGAGGAGGCTGCGAACGAGCGCGAGATGGCGGAGCTGCGAGCCGCCGTCGCCGACGCGGCGAGCGCCGGCGGCGGCGGCTACGAGTACGACACGTACTCCCCCGGGGACGACGTCGACGTCGCGCCAGCCGCGGCGATGGCTCCCTCGGCCGAAGAGGTAGAAGAGAAGGAGTAAAAAGGCGCGGCGACGACGTGCTGTGCTGTATATAAAAGAATACCTCCTCCGTCTGTTTCAACAACATCAGTCTAAAGCGTGCCTAAAGCGTTCGTTCCGTCATCTCGGGCGTCGCGCGACGACGACGCCCTCGCGCCTCTTCTCTCATCGATCACGCCTTCTCGACCGCGAGTTTGAACGTCCCCGTGACCTCCGGGTGAAGCTTGACCGTTACCTCGTACGTCCCGACCTCGCTGATGTCCGGCACGCTGACCGCCTTCTTATCCAGCGTCTTCGACGTCTGCAACTCGACCGCCTCGACGACATCCGCCGCCGTCACCGAGCCGAAAATCTTGCCGTCCTCGCCGACGGTCTTCTTCACCTTGAAGGTCCCGATGGTGCTCAGCGCCGTCGCGATCGCCTTCGCGCCCGCCTGCTCCGCGGTCTTCGCGGCCACCTCCGCGGCCGCGTTCGCCTCGACCTCCGCCAGGATCTCCGCGGTCGCCTGCTTCGCCTTGCCCATCGGCTCGAGGTGGTTCCGGAAGAATCCGAGCGACACTTCCACGAGGTCGCCAGCCTTGCCCAGGTTGGGTTCGTCTTTGACGAGCACCACGTTCGCCTTCTTCGCGACTTTCTTGTTCGCCTGGACGACGAGGGAGACGCGGCCGCCCGCGCGGGGGACGGCGGCGGCGGCTGCCTTCGCGGCGGTGCGCTGCGAGAGGAGGAGCGGAGAAGGGGGATCGACGACGACGACGTCAGAGGGGCGCGCGGTGGACGAGCTAAGATTGCGCGAGCGAGCGAGCGGCCGAGACGGCGCGGGAGGAATCGAGACGCGACGCGACGCGCGCGGCGGCGCTGGAGGCGGCGGGGGAGGCGCGCGCCGCGCGCGCGTCGTGAAGACGCGCGCGCGGTCGCCGGCCCGCCGCGACGACCCCGCCGCGCCGCGCGCGACGCATTTCGACGTCAGACGCCACAAACCCTACATCCCTGAAAAAAAGAGAGGCGCGAGGCGCGACGATGGCCGCGGCGGGAGGGGGACGCCGCGGTCCGAGGAGACGCACCGTGGGCGCGGCCTTGAGGCCGGTGAACGTGGCGAAGCCCGCGTTGGCGATGGTCGTCATGGTGGGAGCGTCTACGGGTGCTGCGCGCGTCGCGTAGTGGCTCTCTCGCCAGCGGATAACGCCGTCATTCGCCACGGAGACCTCGGCGCGCCACGCGCCAGGGGCGGTCGGTCGGACATTTGCTTT